GCCAATAACCTCTGAGGAGCAGTAGACTTTAATGTCACCATCGACTAATCTGCGCATGATACACTCCAGTTAATTCAGTAAGACTTTAATAACGCAGGGACTTTGGTGCCGGTGGTTCACACAAGTTATTTTATTGGGAATATTTATATTTTCATAGTTCAGTGGCCTCTATCTGAGGGTGATGTTTGATGTGTCAGCATTTGACTGTCACAGGCAGGTGGCACCATGTGGCACAGTGTGATTCAGATCCCGCTGTGTCTGGCTTTAAGGGCAACTGCTTGGTCAAAGGGACATCAATCATATGGTATCCAGTTACACACTGTGACACATGTGCATGTAAGCCTGTGGTGTCTCTGGGTGACTGTAATAAGACTGAGACATCATCCTAAGAGTTGGCCCACTGTGGAACTGATGCAGGAAGAGGGTGCTGGGAAATAAGATGCCAGGACTTCTATTATCATGCCCTGTTTCTGTCAAACCAGTCTGACTCAGTGTGTGTGTGTGTGTGTGTGTGTGTGTGTGTGTGTGTGTGTGTCTGTGCACGTGTGTGTGTGTGCAGCAACGGTGTCAGACACTCTCTAACATATTAAGTTCTAGACACTATCCTAGAAACACAGACACTTTGCACTCTTTGAGGAAATATCTGTGATTGTGACCTTTGCCCTCCTGGGGATTGAAAGTGCCATCCCTCCGTGTAATAACACCCACACACACACACACACACAAACAAACAAACACACTCAGTGCGTGTTCAGACTGACAGACTGTGGCCTTCACAGTGCGGCGGCCAAAGCCTCAGCCACGACGGGAATTTCACTCAAGTGTGTGGCAGTGTCGTTAGTCTCCCTAAGACAAAAATACTCTGTCAGAAATGTAATAATCATTTTCCTGCATGAATTGTGTGCCTGTCTGCAGGTGTATAATTAAGCCATAACTCTTTGTGCTCCTCATTTCTTTCTACAAGTTTCTCCTCAGTTATTAAATAGTTTTAAGAGGTAACATCCTGTTCTCTCTGGTGGTGCCTCGTCCTCCGTGGCGACTCCACAATAATCCACTACAATTTAATGTAACTTCAGCAGCTCAGTTATCTGTGACTGCAGTCTGATCCCCAAATGCCACCAGCATTTAATCCCCACCTCACAGGAGTTTGCTGCTGATGGGTCTGGACAGGAAATTGGCTGTCAACACGGAGCCCCGGGTGAGTCGTTCTGACCCCCTGACCTGCCAGAGATGAGTGTGTGTGTGTGTGTGTGTGTGTGTGTGTGTGTGTGTGTGTGTGTTCGCTGTCCTCATGTAAAAATTGTGTCATTCTCATTAGCACAGCCCTGGTGAATTTTCCAGCCCGTAGTTGACCGTATTGTTGCGGCGGGACTGTGAGGTAAATCATGCCGTGGAGCCACCACCAGGCCTCAGCCCTGACACCAGCTAATGGCCTCACCTCTGCAGTAAGTTTTCCAATAAGCTGTTGACCCCTGCTCCCCAGAGGCCCACTGGGAAAGCCAGGGCTGATAACATACCAACATGGCAGCTACAAAGTGAGTTTGTGAGCATTTGACAGTTTTGAAAATATGAAGAGAGGTGAGATAAGTTTTAAACATCCCAGCATCTTATTATGATCTTGGCACACACACTGTCAGTGTCAGCTATCAAAATTCCTCCGGATTACTTGTTCCTCTCTAATAATAGCCAAACATTTCCCTGTTAAATTGTTTCCACTTCCAAAAGTCATCCAAGTCCAACTTACCTATGGAGACCAGTTTGATGTGCTCTCTGTCCAGGAACTCCAGTGCCACAGAAACATTTTCCAGCTTCATCTGACGGAAGTTTGGTCTGATGTGGTGCTTTCTGTACATTTTCTTCTGGCTCAGCACCTCCAGCAGTGAGATGAGCTTCAGCCCGTCAGTAAAATCCCTCTGCAGGTCGGTGACGGTCTTGTTGACGCACTTCAGGTGCTCGTTGCACCACCTGGTGAAGGTGTTCTGCTGGATCTTCTTCCATGGCGCGTCCTCGGCCAGGTCCTTCTCCGTGGCCGGCATCTCGTCGTCCTCCTCTTCCCCAAAGTCGGTGGCCTGGTAGTACTGCGGGGGCAGCTGCTCGTCGCCGTAGTTGTTGCTCATCATGGTCGCTTTTTCCGTGTCCACTTTTATACCGCGCTGACACTCACTTGTTGAATTGTGCGCTGAAAACGTTTTCGCAGGTCGATGGCAAAGGCGCGCAGCCGGCGCACGAAAGTTCAAGCTTGGAGGAGTTTAAAACGCAGTGTGGAGATTCTTCAGAGGAGCGTGTGAAGAAAGCCACTGGATGTCGGGACAGTGATGGATGAAATTATCCGATTTACGATGTGCAAGGCAGCTGCTACTCGCTTTTTTTAATTGGCACCCTCTTGACGAGCCGGTCCTCTTTAATACGGCCCTGAGAAGAAATAAGAAAAGTGAGTTTCTGTTCAGCACTGAGCGTGTTGTAGTGCGCAGAGAGGGAGGACTGGAGTTTATAAAGGACCCCGGCCCACGTCACTCAGCCCCTGCCATCATAGTCTATTTGTTAATCCATAAGGATGACAGGAGTCGGGGTCGGTTTACTGGGAGAATGGGGCAGGGATTGGTCAGAGCAGCAGATGCGGCATGCGTCTTTTATTTTTAGGCGCTCCTATTTGGGCGTCTGGAGGTGGGGGGCTGGAACTTACTGATTGTTGTGAATGTGTGTCATGCTCCAGGATCCGAGTGGCTGAACAATTGAGCTGAGAAAAGACGGTGAGAGGTGCAGTGAGTCTCTGTGTGAGGACGGTTGTCCAAAAGCAGAATATGTACAAGTTAAAATCTCTGAGAGAGGCCCAAACACACAGTGAAGGATGAGGTCACCCTGGTGAAGATGAAGCCACTGCATTACGTGCGCCTCACATTAATCTGCCACCGCTCAGTGAAATGTTTTACCATGTAGACAAGCAAAGGTCAGAGGCACAAGCTCAGGCAGGGTTATGAGAGGAGGCTTGATAAGGTATTTATGGAAAACTGTTATTTAAGTTCTGATATGGAAGTAAAACATTATAAATGCATCATGACGATATAGAGTTTTAGATACTGGATATAATAACGATAATAACTTTATTCATATAGCAACTTTCAAACCAATCGTTACAAATTGCTTTACAAAGTAACTAGCGAAATTATTCAACAGTAGCTTTGAAAAAGACAGCAAATTATATAATACAGTAAGTAAGATAATGAAACACATTTTAAAGGTAATTTCAAATTAAACATAAGTTGGCTAATTGCTAAAACGGGCAAGTAAAAGTAGGTTTTGAGAGATAACTTGAAAACAATATTTTTTCAAATCCAAGTACGATTTTTCTAGAAGTTTTGTGATCAGTCATGACACAAGAATATCTAACAGGCCCTTATCAGAGCATCTCAGGCTATGATTTGAGGAGTTTAGAAGCTGGTGCCAAACCATGTCGTGCCTTGCAAGTCAAAAGATATATTTAAAAATAAATTCTAAAATGCACAAGGAACCATTGAAGGAGGTTAATAGGGGATTCTTATGATTATATTTACATGATTTGGTACAAGAGTCTGGCAGCTGCATTTCGAGGGAACTTGAGTATATGTTTCATGATCATGGATATGATAATGTAGGACAAGAAAGGAGAATTATCAAAAATATAACGGCCTACAGTTTAAAATGTTCTTTTGAGATCACATAAGAATCGCCTTGACAAAATCAGGAAGGACAGACACTGAGTTATCAGCGTAGAAAAGTTAATAATCTTCATATAAAAAGTGTCAGAATGAATGAATATTGTTTTCGCGGCAGGTTCTGTGTCTGCCATGGTGCCGTGACTCAGCAGTCAGTGACACGACAGTGACACCAGATGCCAGCATCAGCCCTGATGTAGTGGGAGGTAAGAATAACTGTGACACATGCACAGAGCATTCTTGGGATACACAGCCAGGGGTCCCCACGTTGATCCCCCACCGTGTAATGAGATACTCAAAAAGATTTTTGGGATCATTGTTAAACCATTTTAACTGTTTGTAAACGGCTAAAAATGGCCACAGGTCAGAGCCACCTACCGATTTGACCCTCCATTTTGCTTTACAAAAGTTGTATCATTACAAAATGGTCATATTGACAGATCATGTTTATACTTAATAATTAAAAAAGCTGTACTGATTATTTAAATTGAGTTAGTTACATGATGACGTACTTTGTGTTGGATTTAATAAATTGAATCATATTTTCTCTACATCTCCCACCCTCGATAGAAAGTATATATTACATGTGAAAACCAAATGACAGAACTGCGCCTGCTGAACTGGACTCTGTTCACCTGACATTAAATCTCCAGAGAATCCCGATGGCTGCTCTCACTCTTTGGTATTAATTAGCGTGTTCTCTGTTAGCCTGTCAGTTGAATATATTAAATATTGAAGAGCGGATTTGGGGTGAATTTGTAGGACAGATAGGCCCGAGGCTGAGGGCCAGCTGATTAGATTTCGCCAGTGATCCGGATCTGACAGTTCGACCATTGAGACACCTCATTTCTTTGCAGCCATAACTCTGCATGTGAATGGGATAAAAACCTGATTCAGATTCAGGTGGGAATATGTGCAGGCTCAGGACAATAATTAAACTTAAACCTCAAGTGTCAAGTGCTAACTGTCCTGATGAAGCTGCCTAACTAGACTACTTTTAGCTTATTAGCGGCACTTGAACCCGGTAAACCATGAGTCATGGCAGCAGAGTAATGAGTGTAGTATAGACGCCTCATCAGTTCCTGCCATTGGTAAAAAAATATCCATGTCTGTGAGCTTATGTCACGTCCCTGGAGTGGTTGGTTATTTATACCCGTACAACCCCGTGTAACGTGACACCAGCAGAGCGACGGCTCTCACTCACTCAGGTTGGCTGCTGCTGATTTCATGAATGGGGTACCATGTGACCTGCGAGAGCTGGTGATGCCATCTCCCAGAAAAAGAAATCTCTTAGACATCAGGTGGGGTGAGTATATTTATTTTCTTAAGTCATTTACAGTACAAAATAGACCTCCAGGTAACAAAATAGCCACAAATATATCAGAAACAACACTGCTATCAAGATGTAAAGCAGCAAGCTGAGCAACACTGTGCAACATAGAGTCTTATGAAACTATGATAATCTTAATAGTCATGAAATAACCTCAGAAATAATGATAAATAACGTCCTGAATCCAACAACATTCACAGGTACTATTGCAGTCTACGGGAATTTAACTTCTATTGCGATTTTATCATTTAAAATAGACAGTGACAACATTTGCAGTCCATTCGCAAATTATTTTCCTAGTGTATGTTCACATGCAGAAATATCATTGGTCAGCCATTGCTTATCACGCTTCTGTTTAATGACAAACATCTCAGAAATGATTTCAGTTAATTTATGAAATTTAATGGACAGAAAACCAGAAGTCATTTGTTCTTTCTGGCAACTAAGGTCAAATGCAATCTAAACGCATGCAATGACTACGCCACCTTCGAACTTAGAGCTACTGAAAATGATTAGCAATGCTAGTAGGCCTTCTGAATAACCTCACCATAAATAAACTTTTACATAGCATTATATCATTTGGCTATCAAATATATGATGCTCTTCCAAAATAGAATTCACTTTCTACAAAGCTAGTACAAATGGATATAAGAAAAAATCTCTCCAATAGTACTATATGTCACATCTATTTACAGGAAATACAAAGTAACATAAACAGCATAACCCAACACAGAGTATATTGTGCTTCTATATGTTTCGTAGCATGCTTTTTTTCAGTTCCAACAGAGATTCACAAAAAAGTTTCACAAATGTAAACAATAATCAGAGTCCTTCCACATATATATTTTGTAAATTTATACTTTGACAAATTAAATCTTTCCAAAAATTTTGCCCTCACAAACAACTGAGTGTGATGGTCCCTATACCTGCATCTCTGGGGTTTGACCAGATGGTGACCGGTGTTGATCAGATCTGCAGTTAGTCACATAAAACAAGGGAATGTTGACAGTCAACATTATCACACTGTACTTTTAACAATACCGATTTCCCATAAATCTTTGAGTCAAGACACTTGGAAAAACCAAGTCATTCAAACTGCTTCAGAGAATACAACGCTTAATTTCTCCACGTCACAATTGACATCGAATTGAAATGTAAGACAACATCATAACGTTCCAGAATTATTATATTATTATATAATATTCCAGAATTTGCTCCAGAAGTTGCTGAGAGACATTTAATAAGTGCTGAACAGAACTGGAGCGAAGCACGTTTTAAATGTAACAGTGCAGCTATGGGAGTTAAGTGTTCATATATTCGGAGAGCGGGAAAGTATGAATCAGAAACACTCCGCTGACTTTTTGGCTTCTTGGTTAACTGATGATTAAAGGGAGACGTGGGAGTCGTCTGATTTCAGAGTCACACAAGATAAAGCTGTAGCAGGCAGACAGACAGGGCTCGGAGCAAAGCGCATAACTGAGGAACACTTAGAAGACAGGCTGTCCCCACCCACCGGGGGTGATGTCGAACTAAACTATCAGCTTTCTTCATGTAATTATACTGACAAGTGCTTAGTAAGCTACACCTGTAATAGCAGATTGTTGGTGTTTACAATGGACAGAACTGACTTTGGGAAGGGCAGAAATACAGTGGCAGGATAGTAGATATGGAAGATTGGTTGATTCATTAAGATTTTGTGATTTCTAATATATTTTTTGCAGAATTCTACATTTATTTCATCTAATTTTTTAAATAAGTTATTGTCATGAACTCATCAAGAGGAAATGCAAACTGCTCTGTTATTATTTAAGGGCATGTGTACATTTCAGGGTTTTCGGGTTCGTCATTATCATCGGAGACAGCTGTCAAGAATGTTCAAACAGACAAATAAATAAATAACTTAAAATTGAAAAACCATTTGGTGCACATTAAAAATCCACACCTTCATTTTATCACATTATTTAGCGAACAGAGATAAAGAAAAGATATTCACAGAGAAAAGACAGAGCACTGGCATACATTAAGTGGCATGAGAACAGTCCCCATGTGGGCTCTCTGCAGGTCATCCTCATAGCGATCTTCTCATCCAACATCAATTTAATGAGACCCAGAGCATCTTTCTCCATCAGCCTGCGCACGTAGTACCGTCTCATTACAGATGAAATTTCTCAAACACGTTCTACTACAAAACCGTCTGCTCTATCAGGCCTTAGAGGATTCCAGTTTGGTCTATAAGACATGGCAGGAGAGAACGAGGAGGGCTGGTCTGAAGCAGACGTCTGTCCCTGTGTGGTTGTTGCCCATCCAGTCAACATCAGACGAGAGCTCTCAACAAGCTAGTCATCATTAGTAACACTGCTGCGGCCGCAGTGATAGTTAAAATGGAGTTCCAACCTACCTCACTCCCCTGAGGGAAGATAGGAAAAGGAGAGCATTAAGAGTCAGTAGAGACCACCCATCAGCTATTAATAAAGTATACTGAGCTTTTAAAGGAATGGTTCAACAGCTTTCTTACAGTGAAGAGATTGTTACCACTCTCATGTCTGTATGTTTAATAAGAAGCGGGGGCCAGAACAACAACAAAATGAAGGCAGGGAGAAACAGCTAGGTTTAATACCACCTCTGGTCGTGGTGTTGATGAAGACTCCAAGAAGTCTAATGTTTGGCTAACAGTTATGCTAGCTAGTTGCAGCCGTAGACTGTGCATAAAGATGGACGACACATTTCCACTGCCTCCCGCTACCTAGAATTGAAGCCAAAATATCCCAGATACGAACACTGCCATCTCTGGCATTTTGAGCCAGAGCCTGCGCAGTAGTGATCAGGGGGATTGAGTCGTGACATCGAGGTTCCTCTGATACACATGCTCGACCAATCATGAGTCAGTCTCCGCCGTCAGTCACAATGTTTCACTTAGGCCTGTCACGATAATTACATTATCGACTTATCGTACGTTATATAGACATGACCACGATCATTTTTGCCGACCTCGACATTGCCCGTTTGTTTTCTGTAGCGACCTGTGTTGGATCACATCACCTTCCACCTATCAGGGACTTCATTCATTCTACAGCCCCGCATATTCTGAAAAACTATAAGGAAGTGACTTGTAGGCAGCAGAGTGATGAGTGTAGGGGTGGGAGAGGAGAGTCGGAGAGGATCTTCTCTTGTAGGCGCATTGTAAAGTCTACATGTTGTCGCCACTCAAGAGCAGATGCCTCGTCTCTAAAGTCAGAGTCAGGAGGAAATCATCTGGTGGACTGTTTATTACCTCTGGAGTTTCTCTGGAACTAACAACCTTGGCAGAGTTCAAGGCTGAAGGGTACAGTGGACTCCCTGTACACTATGGTAAGAGAAACACTGTTGTTTTGAACTTTGACACGGATGAATCTCTTTCTGTTTACTTTCCTGAGTTGTTGGTCAGAGAAGCTCTGAGGTAAAAACTCTTGTTGTGTTCGTTTTTTCTGGATTTAACTAAAATGCGTTTTGCTTGTGGGGGAGACTGAAACTGACTTTATCCATGGATTGAATCATTTATCGTCATTATTTCTGGGACAATATATTGTCCGGCAAAAATAGTGAGCCCTAGTTTCACCCCACTAACTAAACTAGCACTTGAACAAACATTGTTAAAAGAATTATAAGAACAACCTAAAATGACAGAAACCATCTTTGAGAAATCATTCATTTAATGTACTTTGACTTTTTATTTTTGGCACTTCTCCCATCCACTACCATGGAGGAGGCAAGATTTATGATCTAAACTGCAGCCAGGCACCAGGCGGTGATAGAAAAGCTTAGGCTTCACTTGTGAGTAGCCTACATGTTGTCCATCATTATATGGTCTGTGGTTACAGCTTACAACTCCCCTACAACTACAAATTATTGTTGAAGTTTAAATACAGAATAATTACGGAGCTTCACAGGAGCTAGCAGGTATGTTTTTGAATTTCAGACAGCTGACTGCTTCCTCGCTCCCTTTTTGCAAAGATAACCATCGCCAGCTTTTTATTCAACACAAACATGAAAGAGGTATCAGTCTTCTCATTTAACTATTGGCAAGAAAACAACAATGCACAATTCCCATGATCTTGAACTATTCCTGTAAATCACATCATCAGTGAGAATCAAGAAATATTTTGACAAACTGCCCACCCATGTCCTATGTCCATTTTCCCTGAAAACATCATCGTCTTTCAGTATCTTACGTCACTGAGATTTTCTCAGCTGTATTTGGGATTTCAAGTTTCGATCCTCCCATGACAACCAAATAAATCCTTAGTAACAAAAACTCAAAATATTAAAGGGTCAGTTCACCAAAATAACAAAACCACTGTATTTGCATCGCAAAATACAACTTCAAGCACATAAAATGAAAACGTTTGAGAGGTTTTGGGATTTGCATGAACTGATCCTTCATTTGTGTAAAACCCATTTGTAGCATCACATGTCAAATAGAGATGAGCTCCTCTCATACCTTACTCTCTGGGACGCCAGCTCCGACAACCAGCACCAGACCACAGCCACTATTATAATCATTCCTATGAAGGGGATGGAGAGAATAGGGTGCTCAGACGGATGGATGAATCTCTGAGGAGGGAATAAAAAACAAACACAAGGGCCATGGAGATGAAGGGAATGGATGAACGGATGGACTGAAATAGCCAAATAATAAACACAGATAAAGAAGACATGACAGCAGTGCAGAAGGATCACCACTACAAAAATCACTAAAGCATAGGTCTGACATGGTCTATGGCTTTGACATAAAGGCGAGGGAGAGTGATGGAATGAACATTTCCTATTAACACAAACATCACATAACTTTGTGGTGACATACACGTCAACTGTGAGCAGGCCTGTGTGACATTTATTAGCTGAATGTGATGTTATGGTGATGAGGAAGACACATAGCATGAATGCTGTGACTAGCAGATATGGTGGTATGTTTGTCTCTCTATCCTCATTTTATTGTTAGTTAAATATAGTTTTGATGTTGTGCAGCATTTGCCTTTACACAGGCTGAGAGGTCATGGACATTCAGAGAACAAGGACAGCGTCAGAGACAGGCACAGGTAGACAGTTTGACAAAACGCAGAGACATCTCATCATGGCTGTTGTAGACAAAACACAGCATTTATTTTTTATTTTTTTGGTTTCTGTTTATTTATGTAAAGGACCTTACTAGTATTCACACATGTACATCACTTTGCATGATGCCGGACAGTTTTCCAAAAGAGCATTTCAAGTTTTTTTGTTTTCAAGATTTCACTGGTAGATACTAAAAAATGTAGGAAAGTCAGCTTGCTGAATATTGAATCATTTTGAGGTCCTGGGTTTGGAGCATTGAGGTGCGGCACTGCATTATATTTAGAGTGTGGTCAAAAACTTGACTACAAACAGACAGCAAATATAAATTTTATTAAAATTACAGTGAATTTGTTACTTGAATTTCTTGTGTTGTTCCCCTGTGTTTCAGATATTTCCCATGAGCTCTTGAAAACAAAGCACTTTAAAACTATTCATGCTTTCAAACAAATGCAATAAGAGCAAATGTGACTAAAAGTAAAAGTGGGCATGCTGTCAATTGTTTAAAAGTTTAATTTCGACTTTCATGCAGCAGCTAATTAAAATGATCAGAAACCAGTCTGATAATATTTGAACATCTAAAGATGAAAAGGTCCTTTAATTGTTTTCTTCTGATGAACAATATCTGAAGCCTACGTAGACTTCAGCGGTAAAACATTCCTTGCTGAATGCCTTTTTGTGTTGTGTTTTTGTCCAACAACAGTATTTAAGCATTACTGTCACAGAGAGTTTAGGACACACACACAGAGGTGGGGAGAGTTCCCCTTGTCCAAAGCACACAGTAAAAACTGATATGTGCTGACAGGGTGAGTCAGTTCATATCAAAACATACATTGCTACAGCATGAGACACACATAGAAAGTGGGCTCAACACACATGGGAAACAGTAGGTGTGATGTGAGGTGTGTTATGTGGGTTCAAAGATACATCTTTGTAAATTATTACTCAGGAAGAAATGTGGGCTGGAAATTCACAGAAGTATCTGAGGAATTGAAGCTAAATTTAAAAAATAAATGTATTGAGAGATGCTTAGGGATCTCCAGATCATGTGTGCCCCTCACCTGAGCCCCCCCTGACAGTTTCTCCAGCTCTGCCTTGCAGCGCTGCAGCTCCTCCTCCAGCTCCGCTCTCTCCCTCTGGCTGCTGTCATACAGTACCTGCAGCTCCTGCAGCTCCGTCTTCAGACCGTCACACTGGAGGGCACACAGGTCAAACACTCAGTCTTGAAAATCAGATTCATTGTATTTGATTGACACATATTGTACAATTTTAGAGATTTCCATGTCTTTTCTGATTGGAAATTAAGTCTACTTGTGAGAATATATCAGAGCACTCAATCCACAGAGATACGTACACAATCCACATTGGGAATCTGTGCCTCAAATGAGCCTTCGGCACTTTTCTACCTTTAACAGTCTAGCCCCTCAGCTTTGCTCTCAAGATGGCCCCCCTGGACCCACTTTCACTTCTGAGTGTTTGAATTAAATATGCTTTATTTTTATTCAGTCTCTACTAAGTTCTCTTATCAGTGTTCTGTTCAGACTCTCTAGTAATATTTTTGTCTATTAGTCAACTGATCGTTGAGCCATAGTTCTAACTCCTCACTACAGCAACTGACCTGAGCACTACAACAGTCACCCTGACACGACCAGATAATCCAAAACTACATAATGTAATAAATCTTAATTCACTTTGTCTCAGCACACTTGAAGATGGATTCAATTTAGACTTATTGTTTCACACACTCTCACATCAGGATCACCTGTTTTCTTATTTTCTTTGCAGTCAGTTATTTTTGGTTAAAATCTTGTTTACTGCTAAAGTTTTGACACTACATTATATCCTGAATGCTGCACACACATTTAGTTTATGCTGTTAATTGTACTGATTTAGTTTTCTTTGTCTATGAGTTACCATGTCTGCTGCATCACTTCTCCTTCCTGGTTTGGCCAAACCATGTGGCTGAGGGTGGAGCCTGCTTGAATACACAGGCCCAGTAAAATGGACAAGACCAAGTGCTGCATCAGGATGGGGGTGGATGGGGTTTCTTTGTATAAAGTTTTATTTGTTGTTTCTAAATGGTCTGATCAGCCATATGTCCCATTTGGCATGTTTGTTAGAACAGTTGCTTGAGTTAATGTCAGCAGTATTTTTTAATAAAGTTCTGTTTCAGTTGACCTCTTTTATCGGCCCAGTTATCTACTCAATTAACTTTTTCTTTTTTTTTTGTATTTTGATATTTTTGGGTGAAATAAGTCCCTGACAGCCAGTAACTTTGACCAAGCTACAGTGTTAGGATACAGTCCATTTCCTGTGGTTGACCGAATGGTGTCATTCAGAAATCAATCCGAGGAGAAGCTCAGAGGCTCAGAAACCTTCTTCTGATTGGCTGACTCATAGTAAACACTGTGCTCTTGCTCGAGAGCGAGTGTGACAGAGGAAATGTAAAACTACATACTTAAAAGAGTGTAAATATGGGACCTTTAATGATATCAAAATGTTTGTATCCATGTTTAATCTATTAACTTCCCGACGCATGATACTAAGACATCGTACCTCTTTCTGAACCTGTAAGGCCTTTTCCTCAGCCTGTCTCAGCTGGTCCCTCAGGGAGAAGATCTCCCCAACGCCTCCATTCCAGCCGGTTGGTGTCACCGGCTTCCCATCAAATGAAATATTCTTCTGGATTGAGGCATCGACCAGGCGACAGTTTTCAGACTGCGCCATGGTCATGTAGCTCTCTGTCATGACCTCGTCAGAGCCGGTTTCCATCTCCTTCCCCTCTGTGTCCTCCCCTGCGTCTTCCTCCTTCAGTGAGAGGTAGACGCTGGAACTGTGAGGAGGACGAAAAGGAGTAAAAACTGTTTCATCTGATGATGTGGATAATCAAAGGTCAAGTGTGTTTGCTCTGATATGTTATGTCATAAAATATATATAGTGATAGTCAGTATTTGTTCCTTTTTTTTGTATTAGCACATCAGAAATATAGAGATTTCACAGTACATTACACAGTGTACACACAATCAGATGACGAATGTGGAAACTATATTTAATAGGTTTGATAGCATGACTGGCATTGTTTGCCCAGGTGTATGCGTGTGTGTGTATGTGTGTGTGTGTGTGTGTGTAGGTGCACAAACACTGAACTTGTCAGTACCAGTTGACCTCATGGGGACCTAACACTGGTCCTAATGAGGTAAAACCTAATGCCTGAGGTCCTGGTTGAGGTTAGGAGTAAAATGTGAATTGAGTGAGTTTAAAATTGAGATTAGGATTGAATTGGTCATGGTTAAGGTGAGGGATTAAGGGTTAGGGTTAGGGTTTTATTTAAACAAAGTTTTGGTTAGGCCTTCCACAATGAAGGGAAGTTAATATAAAGTACTCATGAGTGTGGTTCAGGTATTACTCATGTTATAGGGACCTAAATCTGTTTACACAGTTACATTATGGGGACAAAAACAAAGTCCCCAAGATGTAAATGATCAAATCTCTAGGTGAAGACATGTGGTTAAATTGGGTTTAGGTTAAGGTTGGGATAAGAGTTACGGCTAAGGTTAGAGAAAGTCTTCAGGTAATAAATGTAAGTCAATATCTGAGGACAGATTTTGTCGCCGCATCACAAAAACTTTTACAGGTGTGAAGTTGAGCTCACAAATAATGCTGAGCTGGATTAATGAACCATTGGTTTCAGCACTTCTGTCTTTCTCCTCATAAGATACATCAAACCTTTAAACAGGTAATCCCCTCCAAATGATCTAGTAAGCACAGACAATGAGTGAGTCCTCATTGGCCTCTCACCATGTCCTCTGTCTCTGCAGCAGCTGCAGCCTCTCACTGAGACGTCTGTTGTCCTCCTTCAGGGTCTGACACTCCTCCTTCAGCATTCTGCACTCCTCCTTCAGCAGGTCCACGTCACCTGAGCGGAGGATGAGGGTGGAGATGAATATACTTTAAAAGGGTCTCAGTCAGTAGAGCTCATCTTTTAATCTGACTGCTCAAGGTCTTCAAATCACTGCAGCAGGTATAGAGTGGCTCTCTTGCTGAGAGTTGGAGGAGCTTAATACCACTGTCAGTCAAATGACAAGCTACAGCCAGTTAGCTTAGCATAAAGTTTGGACACAGGGAGAAATAGCTAGCTTGACTCTCTCCAAAAGTAACTAAATATTATTTTAAAATATTATATCTTACATGTATAATCTGTATAAAACTGCAAAAAGGTGATAATTCACAGTTGGACTATTTCTTAATCTTGACCGAGATCTGTTGACAAGGTACCAGCAGAGACATCAGTAAGTGTCTCCCAAATCTGTCAAACTGATCGCAACTATGACTTAGATTACACATACAAAATACATTTTTCTGTGATGTTTTCATGCGTACAACCATTAAATGAAATCAACAGATATCTTCCACTCCCTCAGATGATGCTCAGCTGCAGAGCCTGGCGGTGACATCATGTGTTGGATGTGTGTCCCGCCCCCCACTGACATCATGTCCCTGTTATCCTTCGTGTCCCTGGAAACTTATTGGCATATTGCAAACCCTAGCTCCTTATCCTGACCCAAACCAACACAACTAAATGCCTAACCCTAACCTTAACCTAACTACAACCCTAAAACCAAGTCCTAACCCTCAATCAGACCTTTGAAAATGTCTGGACTGGCCAAAATGCCTTCACTTTCCCAAAACATCCTCACTCTGTAAGTACACACACAAGTACATTTCTACCCTATGGACTTTCAGACTTTCAAGTGTGGGCAGCTACCACAAGTGATTCTGAGAAAAACGAAAAAGAAATGCTAGAAAAAAGTATGGGATATATATCTATGGTTTATATGGCCTACATTAGCAGCTTTTTATGTAGTAAGCTTTAAGTAGTATGCAAGTATTTTATTATGGATACGCAATCAAATCATTTTCCCTTGTGATTTTCCATACTATAACATAACATTTTGAAGTTCAAACCCCAAAGAGAACTACAACAAGTGCACAGAGAGAAGCTCCTAATGTAGGGGACTTGGTGAGGTGGTGGTTTTGTTGGTCCGTATGTGTCAGTGGTGCAGTGTCTGGTGTGAATCCTGACTGTTGTTAGTGCCTGGAGCATCAAAAAAAAAACTAAGAGTGGAGGCGGCTTTGATCTCTCCTGATTTACAAGCAGAGAGGAGTAGGGGTATACACTACGTGCTGGAATACCTGGAGTGACTAATGCTTTGCTGCAACATTAGCAGAGAAGAGTGTGTATATATACAGGCACAGTATAATAATAATTCAACTGTTTGACTATAGTGGCCCTTACCTGTGTCTCTGCACAAGAGTAAACCATGAGGTCCTCTGTTGGCAAGATAAGCAAGAAAACATACAAACACTCATTGCCATTATGCATTCCCTAGCTCTTTACCCTAACCTTAACTATATAAACAAAATGCCTAACCCATAACCTAAACCTCATTCTAACCCTCAAACCCCCTTTGAGAAAAGTTAGGACTAAATGTCCTCACGTTTCCAAAATGTCCCTATTCCATAAGGTTTACAATCAAATTGGTCCCCACAAAGATATAAGTACAATCACACACACACACACCACTCCCCATGCAATCACTTTATAAATTATAACACTTATTACATCCTGAAAATGATTAATGCTCTTGGCTGCAGGATGCTGACATGATTTGTTTTTATAATAGCAGCTATAAAGACTGATTATAGGCTGTTCCTGTTTGTTGTAGTGAGCTGGACAAATTCCATAGTAAGCACAGACACCAGGTCCTTGTGTAGCTGTTAACACAAGGTGTGAGGCTGAGGTGTAAAACCAAGACTTATTGTATTTTAACTTTGTTGTACTGCAAGTCAAATATTGTTGAAACCACTTCCACTCTGCCTTGCTTCTTTCACATCCATCCATGTCAACCTCTTCTATTAATTAACAGATCTCCTCCCTCCATCCTCATCCCTCACCCTCTCTCCTCTCGGCCTCCCTGCGCTGGCTCTTCATGCTGATCTCGGCCCTCAGCGTGGTGATCTCCAGCTCGTACTCCTGCGTCTCCTCACTGAGGCGCTGAAGCTCAGCCCGCCGACGACACAGCTCCTCCTGAAGAGAGGCGATGTCGTTCTCCCTTTCTGCTGCAGCCTCCTCTGCAGCCTGTTGGAGGAGGAGCACCTCCTCCTGAGCCACGCGCAGCTCCTCCTGGGCCTCGGCCAGCTCGCTCTCCTTCTCCTCCTCCAGGCTGTCCATCTCCTCCTGTACTGAACGCAACTGGGCTGTAGAGGAGGAGAATATGGTGGGTTTTCTTAATGGAGAGTGGGTGAGAATGCAGCATCACTGTGTGTGTGTGTGTGTGTGTGTGTGTGTGTGTGTACATGCTGCATGTGTGGGCAGTGTTTGGAAGAGGTGCTGATGTAACTGATGGTAACAAACTATGTTCTTTGGGCAGAAACTCTTCCCAACTTTTCACAATAACAATAGAGGCATAATATAAAATATAAAAAGTGGATGTAAAAGCACATCCTCCCAAATCACTGAGCCAGATCATTGCAAGCCTTGGTTCTAATCTAGTTAAATTTACAGATGAGGCCCTTTCTGTCTGCAACTAGTCCGACAATAGAAAAACATACAAGATAGGACTGTTGATTAGGGGTGGGACAAAATATCAATATGGCAATACATCGTCATCCTGACTCATGATAGATTTTATGTATGTTTATATACCGTACATAGTTTGACGTTTTACGAGTTTATGGTTATTTCACATTGGAATGATGGCACATGTGGACAGGTTACAGTCTTTGTATAAGACTAAAGAGGAACTAAGATAAATCTACATATACTTTTTTGTACTGGCAACAAATTAGATTTAATAAAAACACAAATCCTGCACTTGACCTCCTTAACGCCATTTTCTAATCTCACTTAGAAAGATATCATGATGTTTTGTTATATGATTGTCTTGTAATATATCAATTATCACAGAATCGAATTGATGATCACTGATGGCTGATATTAGCGTAATCACAGTATCAAATTGTGAGTTAACCTGCAGAGACTTCTTGGTTTGTTACCTTGTAGATTCTGGATCTGGCGAGTGAAGGCTTCAGCCTGATGGGCACTGGCCAGACGCTCATCCTCCAACAGACCTGGAGGAGAGGAGCGGAGCGGAGAGGAGACAAGACGAGAGGAGACGAGACGAGACGAGATGAGAGGAGAGGGAGAAGAGAGGACGAGGACGAGGACAAGGAAGAGGAGAGGCAGTGGGGAGAGAGATAAGAGGAAAATGTCAGTTCATCAGGCCAATAGAAAGATGACAACTTGATAAGCTGTTCAACCTTGAAGCATGACTGAACAGCACAAGCAGTTTTTGTGAGTGTCTGTTGAACACGATGTGAGCATTTGTATAAGATGTGTTAGTATATTAATTTATCAAAATCCATGTTATTAGAACATGTATTTTATACGAGCAGCAGGGAAAATTCAAGTAAAAATTGCTGTTAATTTTGACTTTCATTAAATCAGTGTTCAGGCAGATTCACAAAACAGCAAGTTTAAAACACAAAGGTCACCGGAGTCTCCATATTTATAATAATTTATTTGTCTCTTTTTCTATTTCCACTTATCTCTTGGGCTTAGTGTTATGACTCAATGCTATATAGGAGTTAGATTGCCATCACACCCAGTGAATGACGTCCTCTGACATTGGTGATCCCAATGACTCCAACACTTTGTTTTATGTACCTGCACAGCTGATGAAATTCCCACCTGCCTTTTCCTCCCTGTGTTTCTAATAAGCAAATATTAGTGAGCTAACACACTAGTCTGAGATAATAAGGACAGTAAAACATCATGGATGCTAAACATCATCATGTTAGTGTTTGCTCAATGTCAGCATTTATCATAAACCACTCCAACGAAATGTGTATAAAGGCTATTCAAAGATTAAAAATAGGATAAGGTGAAAGTATTATGACAAGAACAAAGTCATTATTTTAGGCTACGTGTCATTTTATATGGAGAATAACTGCAGAATAACAGTGTCCGGTGGCAAGCAAACAACTCAACAGGTTAAAGACATTAATGAAAAATAAAATGACACACAAGAAAAATGTTTACAAAATGACAAAGATAACACACAAGGAACGAAACTTCAAAACAAAACAGGAAGTAAAAAAACTCAAAATGGCAAACAAAGAGAAATCTAAAAATCCAAATGCAAGCAGATGCCGAGTTCAAAAGATAAAGGAGTCCAAACACAGGAAGTCTTTCATAAGTTCAAAACAGCAGAATCATAACAATATCACAAGATCGGCCTGTTTTAAAATGAGGAGTGTGGAGCATCATGTTCAGTTATACTTTGTAGGCGTTTCAGAAAAAACATAAAACTTATTATCATAAGTGTTTGGACTTGTGCAAGAAACTGAATCTACTTACATAGACTCTTTTGCAGAGGAGGAAATATTTAGCAATGGTCGACTGTGAGGTTATCATTGGTTTCATCTGATATTTAATTTTTTGCAGTTTCTTAAGAAAGAGTGGGATGTTTTCAAGACTCTGGAGAGTTCTCCTTGCTGGTTATTTCCTAATTTTGTTTTTCTTCCTAAACACGATCGTTTCCTAATTAAATTACGACTTTACTCTTGTAATATCATGACTTTCTTCTCAATTACGACCATGTTCTTGAAGTTAGTCTTCTTCAATATGGCCCGACACTCTGTAGTCTCTGTATCTTTATTTTTAACCATTTAAATACCATTCAAATCAAGAATGCCAGTGATACTGCACATTGAACAAAATTCCATTCAACCACATTATATTAGTTTGGAGACAGAAACCTAGTGATATCCTTGATCTTTTTCCTACACCTCAGCTTATTTCATTCCTTACCATGGTCGACCCCCCCCCCCCCCCCCCCCCCCCCCCCCCCCCCCCCCAAGCAGCTGCCAGACCCCTGAGCAGCTGACTGTTCCCACAGGGGAGCTCACCAACAGAGATTTCTCAATGTGGTCTAGGACACCCAGTCTGGAAGCTTCCCCCAGCTTGCACGCAGTTGTCTGAGGAATGTCTCTGCCGCTGCCTGACAAACAACTGAGCTCATGTCTTTTAGTAGGACACACAGCTATACACACTCACACACAAACACACACACACTGAGCTCACTGCAGTCCAATACCTAAGGTCTTACTCACTGCCAGTGTCCCTGAACATTTAGCTCATAATTTCTAAGGTATGATGTGATGCTCCATTTAGCAGCTATGAGGAAAAGATTCTGTCAGTAACCGCATATAAACATTTACGCTTCTATCAGGTTCAGCTCGTGATGAACAGGAGACGTCATGGATGGAAAGTTAAGCTGTTTGGGTGGAGGGAGGATTTTCTTCTGCATGAATAGGATTATGAAAATGTATACACACAGGGAGAAGATCAGAATATGTTTTTGTGGTTTTAAATGTTACATATGTGTCTATTTTTTGAGTTTTTTTAGATATTTATGTAGCATAGATTAAAATAATAATAATAATAATAATAAACCCCCAGTGGTCTAATTTTGAAGCCTTGAACATTATACAACTAAAACTTCACAAAATTAGACAATACAAAATGAAGAAAATAATATGACTACATGTGAGAGTCAGGATATTAATACCATTAAATAACATTAAATAACACAAAATAACATTAAAATCACAAAAAAAACACTAATGACTCATTATAATTTGATGTGACGCTGCAAATAGAGCTGCTGTGATGTTTTTACTTTGTGATCATCATCATCATCCATAAAAATGAAAATATATTCGACTGAACAGTTGTAATAGTAAAGGCTAAGATGTTGAGATGTCCCAAACAGGAATCCATAACCTTTTACAACCTACATTGATATATAGAGAGGGACAGGTCCAGATGGCAGAACTGCCATAAAATCATGTTTAATCACGTCACTGTGATTTTCAAATCTTCACTCATTATCCTCTCACCACTCTGTCGATGGAGGGGTGGGTGAAGTGTTTGAGTCCACAAAATACTTTTGGAGAAAACAGTGTTGCAGCCACATCCAATACAATTTAAGTAAATGGCCACCACTTCTTCAAACGTAAAAAAAACAATAGAAAAAACAACTGAAAATGCCTCCATACTGCTTCTGTGGTGTCAGTAAGACCAGATATCAAATTAGACTTGATAAAGCGTCATTTTCACCATGTTTTTCATGTTATCCTCCACCTAGTTACTGCTGCAGCAGAATGAATTTTCATTTTTGAATGAACTTTCCCTTTAAGTCTGGGTTTAACTCTCATATTTCTAACATGTTAATTCACCACCTACATTGTTGAGGATGGGAGAACTTAAAACACATGGAAAAAGAAATAATGTGTATCATTGTAGCAAACAGCAGTGTCACACTAACACTTCAAAGCTTTGGTGGAATTGTGCTAAAACTAAAATGAAAATATTGAGTGTTACTCTTTTACCACAATTGGTCAAAATGAGAGACTGTGTAGCGTATTTACTCCTTTGCTGCCACTGTGGTTTATTTTTGATACAAGCTGATGGTTGGTGTCTGCACACTTCTGAACCACAAACACAAGATGACAAACTGCACAGCAGATTGCAGATGTAAGTTAAGATTTTCTAGGCCACAGCTACAGGGATTTCTTGGTGTTGATGCATTAAAATGTTCTAAAAACAAATATTTAGGATTATTTCTGTTGAACTGATGTATTTTCAAAGAGCTGTAGCTGATAAGGTCCATTTCCCTCAAATGTTGTTATCCTTTCTAAAAATCTGCACTTCACAAATCTTTATGACCGAGATGGTAAGAAAAACATGGAGAAAAACCATGAGAAAAATATCCAGGTCAATAAACGGCAGATTTCTCTTTTTATACCATAACATGACACAATTTGGAGTTTGGTGATTATGGATGATGCATTGGATTAGATTAGATCTTGATTATTGATTGATTGATTGATCAGATGACTGCTTCTTAACACTGACCTTGCAGCTCGTTGAAACTCTCCTGGTGTTTGTTGGACGTCTCCCTGGCGTCGTCCAGCTCCAGCAGCAGCTGCAGCACCTGGGCCCTCAGCTCCTCCAGCTCCTCTTCCTCCGTCAACGGCTCCTGCTCCTTCCTGCTCTTGTCCTCGCCCTCCTCCTCCTCCTCCCTCTGCTTCTTCTCCTCTCCCTCCTCGTCCCGAGCCCTTTCTTGGTCCATCTCCTCCTTCTCGTTGTTCTCCTCCAGGATGCCTCTCTCCTTGGCTGTTATCTCGTTGTCCATAGTGGGGCTGATCTCTGCTTTCAGATCGCAGGGGTCATCTGAGGGAAAGAGGGCACAACGTAGATTAGGAAAGGGGATGCCTGATAGGGAAGAGAGGGAGGCAGAGGGTGAGATTTACAGGTGATATAAACTCCTTTGTCATCACCTAAATTCAGCCGCTGGCTCAAATGCAGCATAGATTGTTTTCTTGAATCAACAGCACCATCTTGTGATTAGAGTCCATTGTGCACAAGCCTCTATTCAACTCATGCACCCTAAAATAACATAATAGTTTAAACATGTAGAATAACAACCAATTCACAAGATCAGTTTATGGCAGAAAAAAGAAAATCCTTGACTTGGAGAAGCAAAGATTTAAATATTTGCAGAAAACTGTCTAGTGTGTCAGGGGTCACATGCCATTTAGAAGTCAAGGGGAAATCTAATGATGTAACACATGTTCATGGAAATGATTCTGAATCACACATGCATCTCTTTGTTTTACATCCCTACATCTGTGGATTTTAACATTTAACCAGCAGGTGGAGCGAGTTAGCCAACCCAATGCAGAGAGAGAGGGAGTAGGCCAGTATGCTGAAGCAATCACTATGACTCACCGCTCAGCAATGCACCTCAAAGTCCATAATAACACATGCTACCACTCATACTAAGAGAGATGTGACAAACACTCGTCTTTCCCTGATTACACTCTGTCACATTACGTTGATTTAGCTTTTTTTGCTGTTTTGTGGAGGTTTTCCTCGTCCTTGTTGTTGACAGCCTGCATGGCCCGGGCTGGGAGCTGTTGTTTTTTATTGTGGGCCTGTAAAGCTTAACGGGACAGTGTAGGGTATGATCAAATAAACTTGATTTGACATTATAACAGCTGCTAGGAAGGTGGAACCCGGTGCAGGTCAGAAAACACAAAGGAAAGGCGTCATTTACAGCGCAACAACACGAAGGCAAATTCCCATTCGACGTCTTTTCGCATTAGTCACAAGAGATTTGCTGTGAGGTGGGAATAGGCCAGAGCTAAATGGAGATGAAATGTTGTGTTGTGTGAAGTGGCAGGTTGTTTTTCCCTTTTAGATGTAAAATATCAGTTATGAGGCGTTTTCAGTCTCATGCAGTTAATTTCTGTTTTCATTACACATACACACACACACACAGTAGCCTGCTGTCATTAATCTTTTATTTCTCGGTAACTTAAACTTTAATTGATATGAAGCAGGGCGGCACAGTGGTGCAGTGTTAATCACTGGGGCACCGCAGCAAGAAGTGTTCGGTTGGAATCCATGTTCAGTCTGGGTCTGTGTGGAGTTTTCATGTTACCATGTCTGTCTGGGGTTTCTCCAGGTCCTGAGGAAAGGTTAAAGGTTAAAAATACTAAAAATGAATGTGAGTGGCTTGTCTCCATATCGCTGTTTTCAGACAAGCATTATAATCTCAGAGGAGCTGTGTTTGAGAACGTACATGTCTGAGTGACAGCCTCTGTACTTTCTCCTGCCAGCCCCCCGAGTAAAAACTCTGGATAATAACCGAGAGAGACCATGTGAGAAAAGAATAGATCCTCTGCAGGTTTCACCACAAGCAAGTGGGAGTATTGATGGAACAAACTAAAAGAATACAAATATCCCAGGATTAAAAAGCTGCACCATACAACAAAGAAAAAGGTGCAGGAGAGGTGGTAGGTTTTGGTGGTAGAACTGCGTCCGAGCTCTACTTGTAGAGCCACCCCTCACCTTAACACTCCAGAGATTTCTGTGTTGTTTTGAACGCATCTGACCAAAGAATCTTGGAAAAGAACCAAAAGATATATTTCTCATGAAAGACAACGTCCAGAGACAGTCCAGACCCAACTGTGCGGAGCTTCTCCTCAGTTCATGTCTGAAAATGGCTTGTGTTGACCCTACGACCTGGAGATCCATCCAGGGTGTTTACCCCCCGTCTCTCTCCCAATGTCAGCTGGAATTGGCTCCAGCCCCCCCGTGACCCTCAAGAGGAAAAGCAGTATAGATAATGGATGGATGATATGAAGCATCACAAATCCATTATTCAAGCAGCCTCTCAAAGTCGCAGGTTGTATTCAGAGAGAGAGAGTATATGAGAGAGGGGAGGTGGCGTCTGCTGAGAGAAAGGAAGGAATAGAGAGGGAAGAAGGTGCAGCTGGGGACAGAGCCGAGCATTAACTAAAGATCTATCTAATTAAGAGTGATGCTCACCAGTGTAATCTCGGCTCAGGGGAGGCCTCCATCTCTTGAGGTAATTATTCCTCTGCCTTGTTGTTCCCCTCCCTATAGATGTAACCATTTCCATTACAACCGAGCACATTTTCATCATATCTGAATGTGGCCTTGTTTAGTCCTGTTAATTTAAACATCATCAACCCTGAGGGCCGTGGAAAGAGGTTTCATGAGCGCAGGGCTATTTTGTCATTAAACTTTGATGCCGGAGTAATGAGTTAGTCATAAAGAGAGAGAGAGGGAGCCTGGGCCGTGTGGCAGCGAGAGTGAGAGAGTTGGAGCTGCTTGTATATATAGCCAGCGGCAGCTAAAGGCCATCAAGAGACAAAAGACTTCCCAGTGAATATCACTCACATCTAAATCCTTCAGGGATGTTGAGTTCGGGGTGTAATAACTCGGAAAGATTTGGCTCGGGTGATTTGGGCTGTGTTTTATTCTCTGGGTGTGGAGATGCAGTATCCACAGTGTCCTCCAACTGACACTAACTGCAGCCGATCATCAGCAAACTGATATACTGTTCAAGTTACAGTGAAAACAAACCAGTACTTCACACACTTTCTTTACAGTAACAAACTTCATCCTCTCTACCTTCGTCCCTTCATCCTCCTTCTCTCATCCCTTCATCCTCCTTCCCTCATACCTTCATGCTCCTTCTCTCATGCCTTCATCCTCCTTCCCTCATCCCTTCATCCTCCTTCCCTCATACCTTCATGCTCCTTCTCTCATGCCTTCATCCTCCTTCCCTCATCCCTTCATCCTCCTTTCCTCATACCTTTATGCTCCTTCTCTCATGCCTTCATCCTCCTTCCCTCCTCCCTACCCTTATACCTTCATCTTCCATCCCTCATCCCTTTATCCTCCTTTCCTCCTCTCTACCCTCATCCCTTCATATGCCTTTCCTCATCCCTGTCCCTTCACCCCCCTTCCCTCTTCTCTATACCCTCCTTTCGTCATACCTTCATCTTCCTCCCCTCCTCCTTATCCGCATTCCTTCATCCTCCTTCATTCGACCCCAACATCCAATACATCAATTTCCATTCAAACCTTTAAAACACATATTGTTGGGGTGTGGTCCCTGCAAGTGTTAATCAACTTTCCCAAACCCCTCACTGAACCTTTCCCAACAGCTTGTTAATCATCCCACTCCTTGTCACCTAACCTTGTGCCTGAACATTGGTACACGTAGTGCAAAAGAGTCGGCTGCCATGACACCTGTGATCACTGTGCTGTATACTTGGCACAGTGCTGATTGTTCAGTCACGCTGGGATTGCATTGGACATGGACGCTGCATGAATACATGAGCACAGGAGAGTGATCTCAGGAGCAGTGTTACAGCTCCGGGGAGAGGACAGCTTTATCTGGCCACAGCACATTCCTTCTTAATCACATTGCAGCAAAACATATTGAGTATGTCAGTGCAAACATTGGGCCACTGTAGGAAAGAGACAGCAAGTCGGCCGAGGGTTCTCTGTCAGCATCGGAAAAAAGCTGTCTGAGATTTTATGTAAAACATTAATGTGACAGCACAAGCCCTTTGTTTTTTTTCTGGTTCAGTGTTCAGGGATTGAGTGAGGAGTGTAATGAAATTTGCACTTTGTGAAAATTGAGGAGCCGACAGTGACGGTTTTAGCAAACAGATGCATGCTGGGAGAGGATGGATGATGGATGTGGAACACAGAGTTGCTTTGTAACCTGCGGCACCACAGGAAATCCTTCTTCTGTGAAACAATCAGTGTGATTCAGCAGTTTGAGTAACGCAGCAGAATGTGAGGCAAAAAACGAAAGCGCAGCAAGGGCAGCGATGAACTGAAAAACACATGTATAAGGAGTCACATGAGTCATTTTACTCTTGATTTCATTATTCATCAACAAAATGATTTCAAAGTGTGGTACGAAGCACAGAGAAAATCTCTACAAAGTCTATGCTCTTCTCTCCCTGTATCTGCTATGGGCTCGTGATGTATCAGGACATAAGAGGTTGTTTCAACTGCGCTGACAAGAAATGACTAAACACAAGAAGTGAGAGAAGTGATGATGAACTCAGGTGTGTATGTGTGCGCGTGTGTGTGGGAGCGTGCAGCATTGTGTGAACTTGCATGTGAAAACGTTGTGTACTTGTGAGCCTATATGACTACAGATGATTTCATAAGCCATCCATGTTTGAACCCCATGTGTTCTGCATGCACTATATGGTACATATATGCCATGGATCTCTGTGGCTGTGTGGGAGACCATGCATAATGCACGCCACCCCCTCCCACCCCAGCTTTGAAGCCAGCCCAGCACTGATGTTGAAGCTTTTTCCCTGCACTGCATGGCACACTTCCTCACCAACACATAACAGAGCAGGAAGAGGAGGAGGGGGTCGTAAAAAGACAGAAAGCTAGGGTGAGAGCAAAAGAGGAAAGGAAAGGAAAACAACAACCAAGATGCAGGGAAGGAGAAGGAGTTCTGATACAGCCTGAGGGCCACTCGAGCTGCTCCCTTCCTAATGAAACTAAGAGGAGGCAGGTGAAGACAAACCAGTTCATCTCCATGGTGACTTCTGCACACCAACAACCCAGGGCTTCAGCATATGGAAAGTCACCCTGGTGATAAAGCTGTGTTTTTGTCCACAGTTTTGCTTACCATGGAAACCTCTTTGCATTTCCCCACAGAGAAGTAATCTTATCAGATACTTCTTGATGAAGCCCACGTGGCGACGTCACCCCTTATAAGATTTGGCGACTTCCAAACTGCACCAGACAAGATGAGTGAACTTCAGAGGTGAAGGTCGCATGATGTTAATGTCAGTTTGTCTCCCTGAACTCCCAGAGCCTGAACACACTCCAGGGAAGGTGAGGAACAGAAGCAGCAGGAGCCAACGAGAAAGGAAACAGGAATCACAAGCACCCAGCACTGACTTAATGAGCTGCTCTGTTATTTAAATGGAAAATCCATGTTTGCACTTTCAAAGGGAAATCAGAGAAAGTGGGTTAGCGGAATATAAAGGCATCACAGAATGTGGTATAATTTGGCCTCATTAGATGAGCATACAGAAAAACTGTGCCAGTGTGTACATATATTGTAGATGACTGATTCAGGGAATATGTTTTTATAGGTGTGTGACTAATGAATAGTGACCGAGAACAAAGTGTCTAAAAACAAGTGATCCGGTAATAATCAATTTGATCACAAATCAGTGCCTCCCACCTGACAGCAATCTCCCCGGTAGGTTTCACATCACTTATATCACAAAGGAACAAGAGGATACTGCAGCTCGCCACGTAGCGGCCTAATCCTAAAAGGATAAAAACCCGGGGAGAGAGAGGGCACTTGAATTATAGCTTTCTATCTCTGCAAGTGGAAAGAAAACTTAAAAAAAAAAAAAAAAAAAACAGAATAAGCTGCAGTAGGGAGCCACATGAGCTTCTCTATTCACCTGAAAGATTTATTTTTTCCATTATGTAACAAAGGGAGAATAATAGAACAGGTGGCACATTCAGGGACCTGCAGAGTGATTTGAAAGCCTATTTTAAAATGAGCACGACAGTCTGGTGGGGGGGTGATTGGGACAGGTTGTTACAGGGGAACATGTCCCGCTGAAGGGCCTCAGGGCTGAGAGAGAGGGAACAGCCTTAATGTGGGAGAGCTTGTAAGACTTGTTTTCATTTGATCCCACATTAAAAACTGTTGTTGTTGTTTTTCTCAGGTTGCTCTGCAGCTGCCACATATACAAAGTTTGTCTGAGGCGGCAGTTTTGCTATTTATTACTTTGCAGAGAGCAGAGCGAGATCCTGTTGGTGCCCCCGTGGGGAGTATGAGTGCTGATGTGGATTTCACAGCGTGAGGGCACAACACTGGAGAGTGGAGGGAAAGGAGGAGAGGACAGGGAGAAAAACGTTGTGTGGGCTGAGGTGCTGGCAGGTGCAAAGGTTTGTGAGAGTGTATGCACATGTGCATATATGTGTGTGTGTGTGCGTGCGTGTGTGTGTGTCTGTGTGTGTTGGAGGGTGTGTGGGCGCTGGAGAGAGCAGAGGATTGTGACTGAGAGAGGGGGAAGAGATACCGAGTGGTGGAAGAGAGTGAAGGATGGAGAGAGACTTGTGCAAGTGGGAGGAACAACATGGTGGCTGACAGATACGCAGACTACCTGCGATGGTGTTTTATTGATCAGTGGATCTGTGTGTTAGAGTGAGAGCATCTATATTCCCTGTTGGCATGAGACAAGTGATTTTAAAGGTGTAGGGAGGAGGAATTTATTCCCAGCAGCACAGGAAATAAAAGCCTGCTCTTCAGAATAAAGTCACCCTTTTCCAAGAACTCAAACTGATGTGTGGCTAAAACTGACATCAGCCAGGACAGAATGAATGCACTTTAATCCATTTATACCCCCAAGAGCATGAAATTCCTGCTGTCACTCACTCCTCTTTTGATTTGCTGTACGTCTCTTCCTATTACTGTCAATCAGTCAGGATTTATGCCACATTAAGTCAGACTCTTGCCATCGCTCAATGCTAAATTTCCGACTTCAAAAACAACGCCTCAGGCTGTGATGAAAGGAAAGAGGTCCCCAGAGTTAAAGATAATGGGAACAAGCTTGTTAGAGAGGAAGAAAGTCTCATGAGATGCAGCATCCCTGTTATGAAGGTCAAAACACAGACTACGCCATAATACAAAATTATTTTCTGAACACTTGAGTTAAGTGGTTTAAATAGTCTGCTGCTAATTTTACAGAGCTTAAAGGCTGTAGGAAATAATCCGATAACGATAAGTCATTGAAAAGTTCAGATTTAGGACAGTGTGACACAGGAAAAGGAAGCCACATTCTGGAAAAGCTGGCCGCTTGTCAAAGGGTCGCTGACCTGCGGTTCACTCCGAGCCGCTCCACACCATAAACATCCTCCTCCAGTGTCCCACACAGAGTTGCTCATGTCTGCATACACAACATACAAAAAAACACACAATTCAGCTCGTTGGGACACAGAAAAAAACATTCCATACATTCTTCCCTGAACTCACACACAGTTGAGCACTGATCCTTTATGAGGCATAAAACGCGAAGATGTGCTGTGCCAGATGTGGTGTTCAGTGGTATGAAGTTACCAAAGCGAGCTCAACTTGACTGCAGCTCAGCACGATCATGCAAAGTGAGCGAGAACTCAGTTGTGAGCTGAAAATAATCTGGGTATGAAAGATTCAAAAGCTGAGCTGAAATAACACACAACGCTGCACAACTCCACGTTGCATCAATCCTCTAATGAGCCTCAGAATATCACACAACACAAATAACAAAATTCTGGCCCACATTATCTCCTCATGCTGCCAGACATTCATTACCTGGCAGCCTGCAGCTTCCATTAAATGTCCACAGATGCCACAGCTGACAAATTTATCCTCTCATGCAGCCAGTCTGTCAGCTCCTAAACAAGACAGGCTTCCACAATGATCTCCCACCACCTGACCACCTCCCTCTGCTCCTCACTTCATCCCCCACCATAGGAGGAAACACTCCTCTTCCTCATTGCAGACAAACATCCCCTCTTTTTCTACCTTTTGGGGCAGATCGTATCTCATCTGTATAGTGCAGGGCTAAAAATAGCAGCATCCAAGTGCACAGCATTGCAGATACAACACACTCACACACTGACACACCAGCTGCATGCACAGACCTGTAGAGTCCACAGCCTCCTCGATGAGTGGAGGTAAACGCAGTCCATCCATGGTCCCCTTGTAGCTGCGTCGAGGAGAGGGAGAGAGACGGAGAAAGAGAGTGGGCGAGAGAGAGAGGGTCAGAGGCTCTGCACGCCCACCTCAGCTGCAGGGAGAGAGAGAGGGAGGCAGAGAGAGAGAGTACTGAGCACAGTGCATATGCCAAGACTTCAGTGCACAAACACACACACACACACACACACACACACACACACACACACAGGCTGCTGTACCTAGGGAGAATTATTAGGGAGGGTCCGGGGAGCTGAAGGCTGAGCTCTGGAGCGTGGGAGAGAGATGCCGAGATGGAAGAAGAGGGGAGGAGCAGAGTGGAGGGAGAGATGCTGTTTTCGAGGCGAGGAGTTCTGTTTCAACCTCTCTCTACCACCCTCTCTCTCTCTCAAACACACACGCACACACTATCTCTCCCTGCTTGGCTGAGACTCTGTTTACTATTTTTGAAGTCTCCCTTTCAACTTCCTCACCCCCTCCCCCTTCCTTAAAAAAGCACATTTATGTTTTTATGATATAGAATTAATACTTAAACCAAAAAGATGATATACACTGTTTTATAATAAGATTCAGCACATGTCTCTGAGGTTGTTTCCAAAGTCCTAATCTAAATATGACATTTTATAATATATTAAATTAAAATAAGCCTTTTTTTTTGTCATGTGAATTCCATTTGTCTTGTGTGGTTCCTAAAGTGGAACATGTGAACATGTCATGGTGAGTGCACAGAGATATAACAACAAACAGATTTTCAAAAGAAGCTCAGAAGATCATGCAGGTTCAAAACTTTCCTCAACATACACAGTCACACACACACACACACACACACACACACACACACACACACCCACACACATACACACATCCACAGACCCACACACACACACCCACACACATACACACACATACACACACAAACACACCCACTCACACACACACATACACACATACACACACAAACACACACACACACATACGCACCCACACACACACAGATGCACATTCGGCCTCAGCCCTTGGGTCAAATGAGTTTTAACTATAATGAGATCCAGTGTTGCAGTGGAGGCTGACAGATAATGCAGCAGCTTACTGATCATTTCCCCTTCATTGTTCATTTCCTCCCCCTCGCCTCTCCAACTCTCATTCTATCTCTGATACTACTAATGAACAGAGGCTCTTAAGCTATAAAGAGTATCTGAAACGGCCCCCCTATCACACACTCACAAACACACACACTTCTCTCTGTCTCGCGGTCTGTCCCTCACCTTGTTCTTTATCTCTCCAGCCGCTGTCACATCTAGCAACTTTGTGTATAGCCCACAAGAGGCCAGAAATGTAAGAGAGGAAAGGAGGGCCAGGCTTAATCGTATAGGAGGATATTCCTATCACAGCAGTGTCAGAGAGCAGGAAGTGCTTTGCAGACACACATACACAAACCAAGAGACACAAACAATTTAGTTAAGCATGCTCACAACCTGGCAGCATCTGAAAGAGGAAATGGTTAAAAAAGAAAAGCAGAAGTCAGAGTAACGGAAATAGAAAGCAGTCTGAGGCTCAGCATGTGCTTGTTTGTACCTGTGATGAACAGCGTGTGATTTCTCAAGCACAGACAACACATTACAAGGGATGAAAGTCAGCACGCAGAAAAGATTGATGCTGGTGTTTATGAGCTTGTTTCCTCCTCCTCCTGTGAGGCTCTGTGCAGCTGTAATCCCCAGATGAACAGAATGAGCATGGAGGCATCTTTTTGACTTGAAGACATCCCAAAGTCCACACACACACACACACACACACACACACACACACACACAGGAAGAGAGAGCTGTGGAGACAGTTGGCTGACAAGGTGTTGATAATGAGCTGACGTTGTCTGGCTTCAGTCCACCACTGTCAGTCCCGCATGGCAGTGTTTTGGCAGCTTTGTTAAAGATATACTCAAATTTTCTGTGCAGCAATCCTCATCCATATACTGTGAGGAAAAACGTAAAAATGAAGCCCATGAAGAGGACGATGGCGCTACAAGTCAACATGTTTGCAGCAGTAGGAGAGTGTTGGAGACAGATCGGCTGTTTGTTCTGTAACAGAGAGCAGTAACACACACAGAGTGTGAGGTCATATGAAGGGAATCTCTCCGCTCTGCTCATACTGTGGCCTTTGTTTTGTCCTGATTCTACAACTCACACACACGGAGCCCACAGCTTTAGTATTAGCCTCAGGAATGTTGACCTCTAATTTACATGGAACGTCAGTGGACATACTCAGACGCACACAAACACACAATGGATAAACAGTTTCTGTCAGAGTTTGTCTGTCTGTGATTCTACATTTACAGCCATTCATGAAATCATTTTTTATCACCAAACTGCCATGGGTTGCACATAAGAATAGTCCAATAGGGAAGTACAAGGATAACATACTATAAACAGTATTATCAATCAGTCAATCAATCAGTTTATATTTGTACAGCACACTGACAGATCTTAATTTGCCTCATAGGCCATTAGGTTTAATATCCTCTGCCCTTAATTCTTATTACATTGAATATTCACTTTGAATAAACCTTTTAGTTTAGTTTGTCTTAACAACCTCTGAATGAAACATGTGTCTCTTTGCAGCTACGCTCTGCAGTGCCTTTAATATTGTCCTGTAGAGTACACTGAGTTTATCAGAGTTTTCCTCCAGATAACAGCTGCCAGCTGGGACTGGAAACCAGGTAAATGAGAAGAAGCGAAAAATGGTGCATGAAGGTAAACTTGTTCTCCCACAAGTAGACTACAAAGAAATAGAAAAGATTTCTAAAAGTACATTCACAAACAAAGACCAAGTAATTTATTGGATTGAGAGAAAGTGTTGGATGGATGTTGTGGGGAATCGAGAAGAGGGATGAAGGGGGTCAGTTGAAGTTGTAAGATAGCTGAGAACCTGGAGGTTGAGGCTCAGGGTGGGGGCACGTCTCAGTGAGCTTCTTGCATCATCATTCATCAGGTGCATGAACATGGGAACAAAGTGCGGACACTGTGGCAGAGACCTAGGAAGGCCGAGTTTTTGACCAGTTTTGGTTCCTAGAAGAACTAAATTCAACATTCAAGCAGAATAAATCAGATCAATTTATTACAGCGATGAACCGTTCATCCATTCACACTGGTCAGATCCACAAAGCCCCACTACAGCTCACATCATTTGCTTGTGGATCCACCAGAGGGAGCGACGTGCTGTGTAATTACTCTGCAGTGACAGTGTATCATTGTCACAGTCAGCTGGACGTGTAATGGTACCTCAGAGATATAAAAGTCAGTGATTCACCCCACAATCCACTTTACACCACTGGGATGCAGCCTTAACTCTGAGCATCGCCGTGGCGCTCTGCGGTTGCTTAGCAACCCAAGGATTTGGAGGTGCCTTTGAATTAGGACATTTAAAGAGATGATTTATATGTAGACCTTAATGATAAATGCCTCCATAAATCTGGAATTTTCTAAAGGCTATTTCTATGTATTCTTTATTAGAAGATGATCTAATTCTGGTCACAGACTCTGCAGCATCACAGAGCTGCAGACCTGGCGCCTGATGAAGTATGAGGAGGGGGCTTTTTGTTACATGCAGGGTGCATTTTATACTGCAAAAGCGCAAGGAGGGAACATTGCCTGTTTCCATGACATCATAAACAGGAAATGGGAAGGGACCCGTGCTGCCAGAGAGGTCAGAGCTTTCCCATAATGTGAGTTCATGCCCTCAGAGGGACAGACACACACAAACCCACACTAACTCACAAATATATTTATAAACACTCACACAATTAATCACAAAATTACATCCAGCAATGCTTACAGCTAATTTTATCTACACACTTCCCACTCTCTCTTTTGTCTTCCTGGGAGTGAGAAAAAAAAGTGTCCTTCTCACATCCCCCAGTAGAAAGGAGCAGGGGGGAGAAACCGCCGCGGTTCTTTTGGTGGCCTCCTCCATGCAGGTCCCATCCCCTACGGTCACCATGCCAACCTGTGTGAGGAGGAGGCTTAGCTGTAAGGCCCAAAGAGACTTGATGAGGTCCTGGGATAATTAGCAGCTCATTATGGAGCCCAGTGAATAGACCAACGAGCTGGAGGAGCCACAAGGGAGAGAGAGCGGTGGAAAACACACAGGATCTGAGCTTCACATCAAAGCCATGCGCTCACTCCTTTACATCACACAATACAGAGGAGGGAGAGATGGGAGAGAAAATATTGCTCTCCATTCACACCTACAAATATAGCTCATAATCCCCCTTTTTAAGCTTCTGTGTGTGTGTGTGTGTGTGTGTGTGTGTGTGTGTGTGTGTGTGTTACTCAGGATGCGTCACAGCAATCTGAGGTTTTATTTTCTTCCCCCAGAGGCCTTAGTTGCTCCACAAATGTATTAAAACACAGTGCCAGTCCACCTACACACACACACACACACACACACACAGGCACACACACACACACACACACACACACACACACACACACTCACAATGATTCCACTCTTAAACTTAAGCTCTCATAAAGTACGGGAACACAGTGTGAGTGCCAGAGATCCCCAGTTAAGCTATCCGTCTATCACCCCCCCTGCATCTCACCGTGTTGGCTGTGCCTCTGTTTAGCATGCAGGCAGACACCAGTCACACACTCTAAAAACCATGCACATCACATCACGATGCCAGGTGACCCATTTTGCAGTGCGGTGGAGTTTAACCTTGTATGAGCTTCATTTTCTGTGTATATGTGTATCCCTGTATCAGCAATATAAGTGACATATTATATGTTGTATCAGTTGATATTGATTTTTCACATGCACTGTAGCTATCTGGCATTATTTAACATTGTGGCTGTTTGATATTATTGTAACTGTGCTGATTCGTTGAAGTAAAAAAAAGGATCAAAATCCAGCAGCATTATAGAACCCGTCCGCAGAGAGAATTACTTCTCACTGTGCTGAATACAGTGTGACCCAGATTTTTATGAAAATATACAGAAATATGCTGCAGTGAGGGCCACTCGAGAAATGTGTAGCAATATGGAGAAAAGCTGTGGAGGTAGTGTCCATCTGTTGCAACAGCAGGGGGCGCTCCTCTTCTAATTTGGGGGTATTTGCACCAGATCAGATTGTTTTCTGTGATGTCGGGGGTTGAATCATAGACATGTGAGAGATAAAAAGGTTTGTGTGAAGTGGTTGCATTGAATTCAGTTCATATTTAAGGTATCGATATAGAAACAATCTGTTTGTCATCATGCAGCCTTTCAACGTTTTTATTTATACCATGTCAACGGTGCAGCACTTGCTCCCCCTAGCGGTGGTGAGAGAAAGAGACATTACCAGTGTGAAAATGCAAATATATGTGCTATTTATACTAATCAAGTGTAACTTATTACACACTTCGAGCTGATTAAGTCTTTCTACAGGTTTGTTCTTCTGGTGCAAATATCCCACAGGAAAAAAAACAAGATAATGACAAAGAAATCTGCAGTTTTATTCATGAAGTGTGTCTGAATGTTTTCTGTGGCTATAAATACGTTACTTTCAGGAAGTTTCAGTGAGTTAAACTTCAGACTCTATTTCCTTTCCATTTCTTGCAATCTCTGATGTCCCAACAGTTGTGACCTCACAACACTGGAAAAAATCACATGCAACTACAATGATAAAATCAATTCAAAAGCACAAGTTACACGTTGTTTAAAAAGGGTTGTTTAATTTAACAGAAATTGTCAGACGAAGGCACGTGATGCATGAAGATACAACTGATTGATCACATGCACCAGAGATGAGAAGAGAATGTAAACCTGATCTGTAGTTCTACAGGTAAACTTTCCTCAACTACGTTAAAACAGAAAAAAACTAAACATGATACAGTCGCTGACGAGAACAAACATCAACACAAATATGTTAAAGTGGCGGACAAACATTAAAAAGTGGTCTGTGGCTTCATGTGAGATCCTTACAGGCAATGTTCATAAGACAAACATGAAATTAGTCAGTTCATAAAATAGGCTCATAATTCAACACGTAGAAACTGTAATGTGCTCCTCTGTCATCACCAGAGCACTGAAGGCTGTTTGTTGGCTCTTTAAAAAAAGAGAATTGCATTTTTCCTCAAAGAAAATGTCTTGTATCACAGTATAGCCCATCGCCTCTTAATCACATTATTAGCAAAAGACGTGGAGACTGGGTAAAACACCCATAAGACATGTAAGTACAGAGAGAGAGTGTTGTTTGGGTTTGTGCACATGCAAGCGTGACGCACTGGTGAGTCTGCCGTGTGTTGATATCACCATGCTACCAGCACAGTGATGCAGTCAGAGTCCAGACCCCAGAGAGAGGAGACAGTTGGTCTCATCACACACCAGCAATGGCTTCTTCAGTGGTTATGGGTCGCTCATGCCAACATTGACAGCCCCCTCCCCCCACTCCAGACAACACCAACAGCCAGTCACTGTAAAACATTTACATAGACATACACACTCCTAAAAAGAATCATTTTCAAAATCAAATGTATTGCACTTTAAACACGATGCCCAGTACACAGAGACACTTTAAGAGATGACTGACCACAAAAGTCAAACAAGGCAATCATAAGACAGGGGTGAGGAACCTTCGGCCTCCAGGCTGCAAGACAATTTGATCTGGACTGTGGGACAATTTCTTAAAATAAAAAATGTCTCAAGAAAGCAACTTATTTTGATTTAAATTGCAATTCTGCCTTCTTACCGCTAAAATTGTAAAGGTAAAATTGTGCATTGCATCATCACCACAACCATCTGACACAGCCGGCTCTCAGCGCGAACCATATCAGGCTTATGTGACATGGAGTCACTCGTTAAGTATGGCCCTCAAAAATGTTAAGGGCCCTTGATAGAAAAAGGTTCCCCACCCCTGCAACAAGAAATGAAGAAAACAAACACGTAGAACAGAGGATGCTAATTTCCACTGTGCCATACTCAAATGCATCAGTGCGAACCTTCATCTCCCGTTCACTTCCAATTTGTTTGAGCGAAGGTGGGATCATGTGGAGTTCAACTTCAGTGAACTTTGACCCACAGATTTGCTTTACATGTATGTGTGACATAGCCCTCAGTACGTTCCTCATTAAAAACAATAATTCAAAGTTTAGATATATAGACTCATTCACCTCTTTGGGTGAATGAGTCTGATTAGAAAATCTAGTAAAGTATGGATATAACACCAGAGGCCTGTTAGCTTAACTTAGCAAGAAGACTGGAAACTGGATGGACGGTCTAAAGTAACAAGGTCTTCCAGCATCCAAATCTCATGTTACGGGTTTCTTCTTAGCTTTCTTCTTTGTGTTTTCATGTGCATGACTACAAGAATGTCAGTGATATTAAAGGTAAGCTGAGGCAAAATGAAAAGAATAACCATTTTCTTCAATTTTCTTCCTGATCTATGGATTCTATCCCTTTAAAATGTGGTAAAGAGTGAGTCCCATGTTGCTGCATTATGGTGAAAAGCATTTCTCTTCACCCCTCTTAATCCTTGAAGTGGCCTTTTGTGTCTTGTGATTATCATTTTTTCATCAATCAGTGAGGAACTAACAAAATATACTGTTATAAATATTATTGTTAAGATTAAATGGAAATATTAGGTACACACATTCAAGTTTACACAAGAAAATCGCCAAAATTTCACTTTTAAAAAAACAGCGACTGTAAATGCATGGCGATCGTGTCCTATGATGATTGTACAACCAATCCTCTTAGACTAATAACTGACAGTGGTGTCATTGTTGATTTCAGTATGTTCAACCGAGCACCAGCAACCTGTCCATGGCGTACTGTAAACGATCTAAATTCTTCCAGAATATGGTCAAGAAACAAATCCCCAGGAAGGTAGCGACCACATGGTATCGGCTCCTCATGAGTGGGGCAGCAAACTTAGCAACGGTGGAGACGCACACCAGGATGACGGTGATGATGGCCAGCATGATGTTGATGCTCTTCCCCAGCAGAACCCGGGCGTCGTGGCTCTCGAGCTGGACCGTCTGCTGCTGCTGCTGCTGCTGGAGCTCCAGCTTGGACACTCGCGTCTGACACGACTCAAGGGCTTCCTGGAATTAACACGAGAGAGAGAGACTCAACCGGCCTGAACATTTCCAAAGTGGCTAAAGGGTATTTTTCTGACCTTTTAATCATTACCCAAATTCCCCCAAACAATGAATTATGTATCACAAGGATGGAGAGGAAAGTTTGGTCGTGAATGCCAAGCGACAAATGAGACGATTTGTTTCATCTGATGAAGGGAACAACTTTCCCCTCGCTGTGGTAATGATCTCATTAACTCTTAAACAAGCTTCACCAATGTGTTGAACATGACCTACTGATCCACCAACATGTCACATTTTTATATCACAACCAAAAACAGACACGTGTATTAGAGTGGGACAATTTTCTGTCGAATCCTGTCCGTGCCTGAGAGAAAGGCTACCTAACACTTTTCTTAATTGTTTCCAGGTCCTTCATATTTATCGTATTAATATTTCTGGGGTTGGATTCCCAGAAGGGTTTGTACATTTTTATATAGAACCAGCGCTTAGCCTATTAGACTGGATGTGCTTGGGTTGAGACATCAGCCTGAGAGAAAACGAATCAAGCCCAACATGAATCAGATTTTTTGCCCAATTACAGGCATGTGGAGTATAAAAAAATTAAAGTAGATAGCCCAGCCAATGTCCAAATCCAACCAGAGCCTAGACATCCTTCCAACATTTTGTCCATATCCATCTCTGGTTGGGTGTCCAAAATCTAACCTGTATGTCTCTGGCCCTCTCGTGGGCCTGGTAGGCCACCCTCTCCTCAATGCTGGCCAGTTCCTGCTTCAAATTCGCCATTTCATTTTGGTGAAGCTCCGTCAGGTCGTTCAGTTGGTCTTCCAAATGTTCATACCTTGAGATCAGTGCAGAATGATTATTATTTAATCCAAACATTTTTTTATTAATGTTTACATCAAACTACAAAATACCTGTATCTCTCTTCCTGCAGTGTTTGGCTGAGGATGCCATACTCTCTTTTGAACTGAGTCTTCAGCTCATCCATATCGTCCTCCAACTGGCTCTGAGCTTCTTTAACCTCCCTTACCTCCTCCAGGCTCAGGGCCAGTCTGCTCTGACTTTCGCCACCTGCTGGCTGCCCCTGACCATGCGCCTGCCCCGCTGACACCCCTCCTGTTGCTGGGTGCCCGTTACTGTCCGCTGAAATAGAAGCACTCCCCGAGGAGCACTCATCATCACTGGGGTACTTGGGCTTGCTGACCATAGAGGTGCTGCTGCTCAGCCCCTTCCCTGCACTGTCGGTGGGTAACGGAGAGGAAGCGTCAAGACTGGTCTTTAGGTGGGCGATGTTGTCAGCGCTGCCAAACTTGTTCCTGATGAGGTTGGCGAACTCTCTGGGTTTGCTGAAGAAGAAAGGAGGAGAGAGAGAAACTCCTGGTCCGATGGTCTTGATCTTGTCCATGGTCGGGTGGCGGCCACTGCCCGTCATATCCCTCAGGAGCTCTCTGGGCGACTCCCTGGGGATGGTGCTGTGTTTGACAGCGGACGGATGAGTGGATGGGCTGTGATGGATTTCACTGTCCTTCATCTTTCGATGATACTGTTCTAGCTTCTTTTGCATCTGAGCGATGTTTTGAGCCGATTTCTGGTTCTTCTTCTCAAACACCTGCTTGATGCGCCCCAACTGCTGCTTCTCCGCACTGTTCACCAGCTTCAAATACTCGGCTACATTCTCGTCTCTTGCCGTTTGCTCAATCTTCAGCTGTTCTGTGACTTTCAGTATCTTTTGCTGGAGGTTGTCTAAGCAAGAACGACTACGCTGGACCTCGAAACCGAGAGCTGGACCAGGACTTGTATCACTGAGGTCCAGATCCAGATTGTTCTCTGAAGAACCCCGCCGCATCGATACAGGGAGGTTCAGTAAACTGCCCTCAGCGCTCCGATCCTGCAAGAGGGAGAAACACAGATATTAAGAATGGAACATTTAGGGATGATCTTACACCACAGAAATGTGTCTTATCAGCAAAAAAATTACATTAGTCAACCAGGAAAGGAAATATAGGCCAGACAATTCCGAGAACATGCATCACCTTGGGTTACTTCCTCTTGTTGGGATGCCTCTACTACCCACTTTCAGTTTACATCCATGTCTGTCCAGATTCATATGATGTATGCAGTGAAGACTTAAAAAAGGAATTCAATAAAATATATAAAGTGTATTTTATCTTAATAAATGTATAGATTATTGAGTTATAGCAAAAATGTGGTTTGTGAAGCCATATCGAACTTTGACTTTTGACCAAGCTATAATAACAATAAAAATGCTTTTTATCAAACAACACATGATAATGAATAAAATGGGATAAAAACAAATATTAATGATATTAATGAACAGATCAAATGTAATATTATTAATGAAATAACGTCTACAACATACTTAATCAAAACCAGGCTAAAGAGATAAATACAAATAGATAGATATGTATTTTGTGAAATCAGAGCGACCTTTGCCACCAAAATCTAAATAAGTTCATCCATGAGTCCAAATGAGCCATGGATTCAAATTTAATGAAATTATCTCACAGTATTCCAGAGATATTGCATTCATAACAGTCTGTACATATGGACAGAGGCAACATAGTTACACTAATAGTCATTGTCAATCTGAAAGTAAAATGAAGGGAGCATTATTAACTGTCCATTAATATCTACCGTTCCATGGCATGAGCACATGTGGCCAGTGTGTTTACAACAAACAGTTCCAAATTAATGGTTTGGATAATTGGGTTGAATTGTTTAATTGCTCTGCAGACTAAGCTGTAGATGTGTCTACAACAGCTTCACTGCTCCCACGTGTCTCTACAAAACGTCTGGTGAGCAAAATCTTTATAATAATGGCTGAAACAATGAACATAAGGTTGTCAAATAATCTAATTTTCCTTCAAAGGTCTTTTTCACGTGTGTTTGAATGTATGCACGTACAGTACCTCAGCACACTGCTCCCCTGCTTGCAGATTGCCGCTGTGAGACCATCTGGTGTGTATGTAATGCTCTTATACTGTACGTTGGCACATCTGCTACGTTTTGGCAACAAGAATTTAATCCTGTTTGTTTATAGTATAGTACACAGATGAAAAAAACAGATAACAGCTATTAATGTGTATGAAAGAAGTGGAGCGTGCAGACCTAATGTAGGTCAGTGATAATGTCACACGAGGCCACGAGCCTGAGGAAATCCCTTTTCCAGACAAAGTCCCCTAGTTTTATACTAAATTACCATTTCCCTGATGGAGGCTCAACATTATTGACTGTGACTGATAGAACATGGACTTTATTGAGAAAGTCAAACAGAATAAATAACACTTAAGTATGCAACTTTGGCACCTTAAAACGCTCCAAAAGGAGGAAGCTGGGGAAAGCAGCGAATCAAAGCCTTAATTAGATTTCCAGTCAGAATTTGTTTTAGCTTTAGTGTCACTTCTCTGCAACTGTGACATATGAAGACTTGCAAGATGATCACAGCACTACAGCACAGTAATGACTGGACATGTAAGCTGATAAAGCATAATACAAAGTGTTGTACAACAAGCACTATGGGCTGCACAAAGCTGCACTAATCCTTAACAAATGTAACACTGCTAGTTTCAAGCAAATAAACAGATCACAGTAGACTTAGGACTCAATCCTGATTAGCATTTCCACATCAGCACATAATAGTTACATATTGCAAGATAAGCACCTTCACAATGCATCGTGAACTGATGCTCCTCCACACATGACTGTCAGGTGGACAGGGCTTTATCAACAATAGTGACATTATGTTTGGCTGGACGTGCAAACTGAGTCACATACACACTGATGCTGTTATACAAAAACACATTCAGCAGGATCACCCCTCTCTTAAGTCAGTTGGTTTTACCTGATCCAATAACACACGTACCTTCCCATTTAATTGCCGTTGCCACAATCAACTCGTCAAACTTGTTTGTGAGGCCAATAGAGAGAGCAGCAGCAATATCGTCTCTGAGATCTGTTTATTAGTAGAATGTAGTTTCACCATAATGTGCAATACAGGAACTGCTTTGTAGCCTACGTGTTTGTAACAACACTGGCCCTGTCATTATCTCTCTCTCTCAATAACAACAGGATGAAGTGCTTTAACATTTGTGTGTTACACAAGATGAATCCTAATGATCCTGGTGATCTAGACTTTTCCTGTCAATCCAGTTCAAAATGTCAGTTTGTCTAGTGGGTTTCATGATAAAATACCTGCAGTTAAATACCTCCACATGTTTGTTTAGAACTAATTACCATTAATTTTACTTTCCACTATTCTATTGGAATTGAAGCCTGCATTTTTCTGTGTGTTATCTGTGCTTCAGGACGTTTTCCCACCTGAGACTAAAGAGCTGATCATTGTTAAATTGTTAACATTTGATCTGGTTAGTTCTGTTTCACATTGTCATTTAGGGAGTGCACTAAAGACTTTTGTATGTCATCATAACCTACATGGGCTGTGTCTACCTATTCTTGACCTTGATTGATTTGTAGACTGGCTGACGTTAGCGTGAGCTGTCAGACGCAGCACTGAACACTAGTTTGAATGTAAAAAATGAATTGTCATCATATAGCGCTGGAGTCTAGGCAACTCTGTTTTCAAGAGAGATCAGTTTCTCTTCCACTTCTTTTTCTTCTATTGTATGATATGGTCTCAACTTCCTGTAATTGGTGCAAATGTCTGAACTATTTCAAAAAAAGTGTTTTCACACTGCAAACGAACCAAAACATGATTTAAATTGAACTGAACTGAGACCACGTCTTTTGGGTCAGATTAAATTTTGGTCCATTGGTCTGGACTGTGGTCTGAGGCACCTTCACACATCATTTATGTTTCTCTTTCTGGTTAAATAGAAAACAATAAGATGAAATTAAACATGGTAATCATCGTGCCAGCTAAACATCACCATTGCAAGCTGGATGCCATGCTCATTTGCTGCTCATCATTTAGTCCAAAGCACTGCCGTGCTTTAAGCTAAAGGGCAACTTCCAGGCTGTCAACTCTTAGTGTTGTGTAAAATGTACGTGCAGTTTATTGGTCTCTATGTGCTTGTTAAAATACTGTACATACATAATTTATAATTATTTATCCACAGTGTGTGGCTGGAGAATGCCATGCTTATTTCAACAAGCATGCCTGCAGTATTTCAGCCTCCGTCCTCATCCCATTCTCTCCCCCTCTCTGGCATCGGCCCTTCTTGAACACAGGACTCTTTCTCTGCAGAGAAAAAAGCGCACTTTGTCGTGTCCTACCTCTACTCTGTCTAGGACTCTGATGAGCGAGCTACTTGCATATGGATTCACTGGCCTATCGTAGCCTGAGGAGCCTTGCACCCGATCGCAATCCCCTCTCCTCCCAGAGACCATGCAAATATCTCTTGACAGAACAATTAGTTTCACACATAAGCTGACCTTTTGTCAAACCTGTTTGTCACACAAACGAAAGAGTTAACTAATACCGTCCTTCTTAAAGAGGAAGTATGGGACAGGCCGGTGTGTAGGTTGATCACGTTACCCAGTCTTTTTAGTCTTTAAAACGAGCAACACAAAGAACTGTCTGTTCAACCAGAAAGCTTAGGCAACATGCTCTTTCGTCACCACTGGAACTAAGCTGGCTCCTCTAAGCTTTTACTAAATGTTCTATGTTCTCCTCTGTAGCATTAGGGGCCAAATAAGGGTCTAAGTTTATTGCTTCAAGATGCTGTGATATCATACGGATGAGCATATGAAATAGTCACCTGGCAACCATTACTGGGTTACTGTTAGGGCCTGAAACAAAACCAGGCCTCGACAGGGGTGGAAGTGTTTAGAACGAGCATCAACAAAATGTCCATATCAAACTAATGCATCAAGAGAATGTCAAGCCAAATGTGTCTTACACAGCTGGAATGAGAGGCTTAGACTCTGTTAAAAAACATTCTGGCTCTTGGCAGGACGACATCTGATTCATGAGAGCAGCTCGAATACCGCTGATGACACAGCCCAGATCTTTTACACTTACTAGAGCCCAAAAGTTGAATTTGACATCTGACATTTTCCTGATGAGAGACTCAAATTGTACCATTTCAATCTAATAAGCGATTTTCCTCAACTGCTGCAGTTTTACCCATAACTGCTGGAGCAATCTGAGGGCCTCTCTGGTAGAGTGGCTCTGCTTAATGAATTAGTCTCATGCTGATGAAAATGTTCTCCCAAATCTGCAGAGAAGCTGTCCTACTTTTCAATCCATTTCTCCCCAACACTTATGCAGTTCTCCAGGGGTTGTTGAGGTAGAAGGTTTGAAAGCCCAGTAACTAGGGGAAAGGCCACAACGCAGCAGATGGCAGCAGCAGAGTGCAACAGTTGAATGTACAGTCCTAACCTGAGAGGTCACAAATTGAAGCAAGGTTAGAGTTTGATGAGACTGTGGTACCATCTAAAGTGGTTTAACCTTTCCAGGTTGTTCTTGAGCAACACAGTGAGATCCTATCTCTGCTCAGTGACTATAAGTATATAGTATATACTTAAGCCGTTTTCAGACTTATCCTACGAGTAAAATCCTGAGAATTGGCAACAGAGTTTTCCCACAGTTTGCCTTTCACACATGCACTATACAGCGGGAGGTTCTCTGCATAGACGGGTTAACAACAATCAAATCTCATTTCCAAGTTGACATCTCTGTCAGCTCTTTACTCCAGAGACATTTGTATTATTTTTGTTTTCAGTTTTGCATCCGTTACGTGTTAGATACGTCATCAACACGGCCACTCGCTCGTAGGGAATTTGCTGGATCTTATCCTGCTGTGTTTTCACATGGGCTCACTCAGACGTTATCGGACCGACAGAAAAAACAGAGAGGGCTACAGAAACCGAAACAGATAAGAGATAAGGGGTTGGGAGTAGAACAAAGAGAGATTGGTTCCAAACACAGCTCAGCAGCTCAAATCATCCCAATCATCCTCATCTCCACCAACAGGATCTACAGGAGTCCTCTGTGCCCCCGGGGTGCCTCCCTCACACCTAAGCCCCTGCATAAGCTCCCCCCTTCTCCACGCTGCCCTACATAGCACACACAGCGTCTGTAAAACAGCATGACCCATTTTAATATGCTCTGACCTCACTTGACAGCATAACATAAAGATCCAACTGCATCAGCCTCAATCTTGACCCGACAAGGGAGAGCCGTTTGCTGTTCTCCTCCAGAAATTTGCACAAATATTTTCTGCTTTTCGGGAGGGGGAGGCAAGTCATGGTGAGTCGATAGAAACTGCAGATCCTGCTTATCTTGCACTGTAGTGTTCTCCCTCTTGGATCAATGGTCCAGTTAGCGATTACATTTTTTATGCAAAAACAGACACTGCACCCCCTCTCCCCCACTGCAGCAATGGAAGAGGCAAGAAACAAGAAGCAATCCAAAATTTAAGCCGTGAACTGGGGTGTAGCAGAAAGGCACAACTTATTTAGGTTCCAGTGGTTGTGCAGTGGGTGTATACGCAACACTGAGCTGCATTAGTCTAATACATTGTGATTCAGATTAGCAGAACATACAGACACTGAGCCTGTTTCTTGCTAAGCTCGCTTCCCCCTCCACAAATAAGATATCTTATGCAAACAGGAAGACACTGCCCCTGTTATGAGGAAGTAATGTTTTTAAGATGTAATCTGCTGAAACCATTGGTTCACGTCATGTAGTGATTCACATACATGTCGCAAGTGTTTGCAGCCATTTGAATAAAATAGATCTGAATGATGGGGCAGTGGTGAGTTGTTTGGTGCATAGGGTGGCACTTTTTTTTACCATTCTCTCTATGTGTGCCTCTGTGCACCCCAAATAAACGCACACACCAAAAACTGGCACACTCATCGAGATGGAACAAAACCGTCCCTTCAGTGGAGAACAGAACCACAGAGGGGAAGAAGCCTGCAGTGCTTATTGGTATTCCTTCCAGCTGATCCTCATGGATACAGACACTCTCCCACTCAGGGCTCACACAGGGAAACAGGAAAAATACTGACACGGAGAGAGTGAGAGCAACAAGGAGCACATCTTTTGATCGGAGAGCTGACCCAACATCTCCTCCTCCTCTCTTCTCATCTGCATCCCACAGCTGCCTATGTGGTCTTCAACTGAATAAAAGAGGGGGGGTAAAAAAATTTAACTAGCAGCAGTGTTTGAAGTCTTAAGTTTTCTGAACGACTAATCCCCAGGAGGTCGGCAGAATGAATTGCTTAAAAACATATTTGCTATTATCTCATAGACAAGCTGGTCCCGGACTAAATCAATAGCCCATTAACACTCTCAGCGTCTGCTTGCCCCCCTCAACTGGCAGAGTATTGACTGGAATTCAATTAAGATAAATATGCAGCTATATTCAATGCACTCAGAGTGAGAGAGTGAATAGCAGCGATGACAAAGCAGGGTTAGTAAAGAGTCAAGCAGCTCATTAGCCGAGAAAATAGAGCTTGATAAAAAGAATAGAGCAGAGGGACAATGTTTGCAATTCAATGATTCACAACATAAAGATTATTAAAAAGGATGTCAGTTATCCAGACACGATGGCTAACATGTTTGGCATTTGTCTGGTGGCATGAATGTACCACAGCCACCACAAGTGAAGCATAAGGTTCATGTAAGAACAAGATGTGTCAGTGAGAAATGACAAGCACATCTCTGCACAGCCCCCATCCACCGAGGGTTAAAGACATTTTCTGGAAATGAGCCACTCAAGCTGAATTGTTGCATCATCTTGGCCTATAACCCGCTATGTCTTCTGCACAATGGCTTTTTGAGAAACAAAACTGGAATGTCATTTGCGGCCAACAAAAGGGGGAAAAGCATAAATACACAGCCCAGCAGCAATAAACCAGCCAACAGCGTCAGATATGTCCTTCAGTTATATTGTGCTGATGGTTTTACAGTGGCTGCGGAAAGTCGTCAAATCCCTTCACTTCTTCAACACTTAACTATGTGGTAGACATTTATATTTTTTTTGCAAATGTATTAAAAATGAATTACACTATAGAGACAAGATCATGTTGAGGCATAGATCACAGCAAGAGTACAAACATTTCTAAAGTTTTGAGGGATAATGGCAACAATAATTGTGAACAGGGTAAAGATTGGAACCACACAGACTTTTTCTGGAGGTGCCTGTCTGACCTAACTGGGTACTGGGCAAGAAGGAACAAGAACCCACTGGTCATTCTCAAGCCGGTTTGAGACATAAACTCTGGGAAATGTCCACATTAGGGATAGAGATTGTCCAGGTGAGGGTTGGTGCAGCATAGACATGATGTATAAATTCCATTCCACCGTTGGCCCGCATCACCAAAAGCTCTCGAATCTCATGTCTTTCTAAATAGACATCTTTGTCTCTGCCTTCCACATGTATGACAACACAACCACTCACTTGCTCCCAGTGAAGTAGACTCCATCAGACATTATTCGTTTTTTTAATAAGAGTCTGGCTGAAGACACTCCGGAGAATGTAAGGAGTAACTGATGGTAATTCAGATATTTGCGTTTTCACATAAAACCCCTGTGAATAATTTCAATATCCAGAGTTCAGTGCAGGTCTAAGAGCAGCCTAATTGACAAATGGATGTTTTCACCTTGTCTTTATGGGTTATTGAGTAGATTAAAGGGCAAAAAGTGAGATTTCTTCCTTTAAGAATTCAATCTTAGACACATTCAAATGTGCAAAAAGAGGTAGTGTCTGAATACTTCCTGGCACAACTTATTTGTGTATTACTCTTCCTCTTCAGAGGAAAGGTTATTGACATTTATTTATTTGAGTTATTGTTGCTCACAGGCCAAGTGACAGCTCTCTTTTCAGATGCAAGATGTCACCTCGACCTTTTGAAGAATAAGGTGGCTGCTCAACAGGCCTGAAGGCTCGTGCATATACCAGCAACACAAAGAAACACAAAATGCTGCATGATACTTGGCTGACTTTCTGGTTGCACAAGAATCAAGCTTGACTGAGCATTCCTCTCCTCAGAGTCAATGTGACCGAGAGCAACTGGCTTTAAACGTATTCAGGTTTATCTGTGCGATTGCATCATCAAACCATGAGTAGACATTCAGCAGCAAACAGCTGGACTTCTTTTGGCAAGTGACTGTAAAGTGACTCTAAATGCAGATGTACATTTTCTAGACTGGTGACGTTCTTTCAGTCAAATTTGTAATTTGGATAAAATATATAAAAACTATTGATTTGAATATGTTTCTGCATGCGGAGGTAAAACCATAAATAACTGTAAAAACGATGTAAAAAACATGTCTGAGAGTAATCCGGACATTTCTCTATGTGATCATCATCCACTCTTTGCTGTGGGTTTAGAATCTGGCCCATTATTATAATGTGTGTATGTTGTTAGACTGTGCTGTTAAATAACATCATGTGATATGATAAATGAGCATCAAATTTTGTTTAATTGCAGTGACCGTCTTCATCCATCCTCTATGATACATATTCTAAATGTCAGTGTCACCGTGTACCCAGCACCACCCGTCATAAAGAGTAAGGTTAAAAAAGGTCACACATTTAGTCATTGATTGACCACAACACCTGTGCGATCAAATGCAAATACAGTAGTCTTGCAAAAAAAAAACACTTGAGTCTGATTAAACCATTAATTAAGTTGTTTTGTATGGATGAAATTCTCTGGTAAGATTTAGTTTAATATGCTGGACTGAACTGCATTATTCCTTCAACCAAGGAGGTTATGTTCTCATCTCTGTCCGTCTATTAGTTAGCAGGATTACGCTAAAGCTACTTCGAAGCTTGGTAGAAGTAAAGAACCCATTCAATTTTAGATTATTTTTTCACTTCCTTTAACATTGTGAGATAGGGTTCTTTGCTAAGTTTTTGTTGATTTCTCAAAGAATAATTCTTGGATCTTGATAATAAAAAAAAAATTCAGATGTTTTCCTTCATGAGTGTGCAATTTGGTGCAGATCCAAATAAAAATCCAGATCTAGTGGATTGAAATGTGTTTTCATCAGGGGAGTGTCTAGATATACACTCTACTGAGCATGATTAAGAATTGAAATACCCCAAACATATATATAAAGTTAAATCAACACCAAAAGGGTCTATTTGAATTCAGACTACTGTAGTGGAATGATATAGGAGGGAGGTTATTTTTCTTGGCACCTGAATAGTCACACAAACAAATATCTGCTCATTTATTTCAGACCCACATAATTTAAATGATTATTCGATTTCGAAAGACTTACTTTAAAATTAACTGGAAAAAAATCAACTGAAAATGAACTAAAAGCTCAATGAACATCAACTGGAAATCAACAAACACTCCAAATGAACTTGTCTTAAAAAAAAATCATGTGAAAATCGTGGGTTTATGTAGGTTGGCAGAAAAACTAATAAAAGACACCATCCAAGACTTTTCACCATTTTCTTTTTTCACAGATTAAGCTGAAATAAAATGATTGCGAGTTTCAGACTAAAATTGAAATAAAGAGAAAGATTATTATTGTCCCGTCTGGATATGGACAAACCCATGAAGTTTCCAGAGACAGATGATCATGGAGAGGTCTCCATGATGAAGACATATGTTTCTATGACGAACACATGTTCACATGACACATATGAGCAGCAGGGTCACTGGGGCTCTTTGTTAGCAGAGAGATATGCAGCTGCTGCTTTCACATGACGTGGATCTCATAGACTACAGTGTGTGTGTGTGAGTGTGTGAGTGTGTGAGTGTGTGTGTCTGTTTATCACTGGTACAGCAGCCACACAACAATGGTGCACAACACACTCACATGATACTCACCATCCGGCTGCTCAGGCGTTTCTCCACTTCGGATAAACTTCGCACCGACACGTTGGCGCTGGGCATAATAATAATAATCCAGAGTCGGAGCTTCAGCCCGGAGACACACGATCACGTCTTCTTCTTCTTCTTCGTCTTCTTCTTCTTCTTCATCCACCTTAGTTCAGCAGCAGCTCAACACTCACTGCCTGAGTCCATGTTGAGACCCGACCGGCTCTCCCACTCTCTCTCTCTCTCTGTCTCTCTCTCTTTACACACACACACACACACACACACACACGTACACACGCACACGCACGCACACACAAGGTCTGCCCTCCTCAACAAAATGTGTGAGCATAAACCCCGCCCACTCCTCTGGCTGCACGAGGAGGGGTTAACTCTTTCAGCGCACGTGCCTGTCGGTGACAGATAACACACTGATCACAGTCCTCATGGTTAACATATGTAATGCACACACTCTCACTTCTACATGACAGAGGATTTCTTTCGGAGCGATAACAGATGATGCAGGAGAAACCACATCCACTGAAGAATCAACAGAAAAATCTACTGAAACTGAACCGAGAAATCACGTTAACTATATTTCTTTATCATCTTATTTATGACAATAATATATTATTTTGTATATATATAATAATATATAATATTTGTCGATGTATGGGCGGCACACAGGATTAATGATGTACATGCAGTCCATTCCCAAAATTTGTATGAGGGAGGTTTTTGGGCTTTGTGACTTTAATTTCTAGTTTATTTTGTCTTGAAAAGTGTTACATAAATAAGATGCATTCATATTATTATTATTATTATTATTACCGTTTTTATTATAATTATAGTAAAAAGTGCAATATTTCTCCCTGGATTGTGGTGGAGCAGATATATAAAATAGAAAACCTCAAAAATGTACTTTAAGCTGTTCTAGAGCAAATTAGTTTCTTTCTGACCACAGTCATTTCCTCTCTGAGAAAGTGGGAAAATTTGTGTAAAACTGAGGACTCATAAAACACAAGATAAATTATTAAGTTAATAGAAATGGAGCAGAGACAATGAGTAGCACACTCACAGGTACTGTATTGAGCATATATTGAAATGTGTAGCCATAATGGTACAATCCATTCATTCATCCGTCTATGACACACACCACATTATCTTCTGAAGGTTGGCTGGAGCCAATCCTAGCTGACATTGGGCGTGGGGCAGGGCACACCGTTTACAGGTCGCCAGCGAAGTGCAGGTCTAACACACAGAGACAAACAATCATTCACATCTACGTTCAATTTAGAGTAACATGATGTCATTGGTGCAGCAGGAAGTGGAAGTAATTTAGTTTTTGCATATTCTTTCTACACCATTTCTCTCAATTCAACACAACTTGCAGAGGTAGGTGACTGCGGACAAAGAGAAATGAATTGAATTCTTGTGGAAACAGTTCGTGTAATAAGCTGCAGCTCAAGCAGTCGTCTTCTCAGACTATAGAAAATCTGGTAATTGTAAGATTATAGTTAAAGATAATGCATAAGATTCTTATTTTCTTATTGTTTTTCATAAAACCAGTTCTGCTGGTTCTACTTTGCAAAACCTGCATCACTTCCCCTCTAACACCCAAAAAAAAAAAAACAGGCAGCCATGGGAACAGTCCAACTGGCCCTTTCTCTCACATTCATTCATCTTGGAATGAGCTAATCCACTTCACCACACACACAAAAGCCCATGTTACATCACAAATCCCTCAAACTTCAGACACAGACAAACACTGTTTGTTTGTGCAATTGTAAACTGTTGGGTGGTTCACAAAGAGATGTCGAGCATGTCCTCTTTTGTTTGCACAGAACTTGCAGTAAGTGAGCGAGTGCACCATACGTTGACATGCATTAACCTCAGTGGTCCAAAGAGGACGGGTCAGGCCACGCAGTGACGTGATAGGGTCGTGGAGAATCACATAAAGCAGCAGCTGCAGGCATTGGACAATGGGCGTCTAAAAACAGCAGCAGAGCGACATCATTCATGCGATCATCAAGGTTTAATGGTGCTATTAGTGCCTTTAATTGGCTGCACACGTTCACTGGGTAACTACTGCAAAACACAGCTTACAGGAACTGTCCACTGGTCACCCACATCCGCAGGCTGCTAATGAAAAATTCATTGGCTAATAAAGAACATTGAAAGTCTAGTCCCTTGCACACCCGCCTTCATGCCACTTGACACGAAAACCCAACAATAAGTCAGTGGGGTAGGATACAGATTTTGCATTATTAATTCATAGGCAGCACATAAACAGGCCACTGTGTTTACAGAGGAAGTTCCAAACTGTTCAGAACTTGAGCTTTCTTTTTCTAAGTTTATTGAATTAAACTAAGAGCCTCGCCAAATCACTACCAAAGTCTGATTGGAGTAAAACAGAGCTGCTCCAGCTTCCACTCTTATCCAGATCATTTAATGAAACAGCTTCTTGGAGGAGTTCCAACATGAGCTAATAAACCCCTCCCCTGGATTACTGCACTTGTAGCGGTGAAGACATGTTTACAAGACTTTGTGGTAAACGCACCATCAAACACACGTGACTTTGGTCAGTTTCAGTTCTGCCGTGTTACTTGAACCAGGTCAACAAACTCTACTCAATCTGGATGGGACTTTGACAAAGGCCATAAGTTGATTATCTGGGTGTTTACTACTCCTATTTACTACTACGAATACTCCACTTACAGTATGTCCTTTTCAATGATTAACCAACTTATCACCTGGCTCAGTGTATATTTCAAGTCCAGGTCATTTTTACTGTTACTGTATTCTTAGGATTTTTGTTGCAATGGCATCAATAAACACTACAGTGCTTTTTAAATTTAAGAGTCCCAGCAAAACAAGTTCACCGCAAAACAGGCAGCACAACAGATAATACTTGGCGTCCACATCCACACTTAAAAGTCTAATATAATAGTGTTGAACCTTCCAATTTTTACTAACATGGCTGCAACACATATTATGCTGTCCGTTTTGTAGCCCACAGCTGATTTCCAAACCCTTAACACTGGCACTCAATGCAGCACAATTATGATTGAAAGATGTTTTTATTGTCAAATGACTTGACCAACATTGAATCCACATCATTACCAAGTGCTGCTCTTTATAGCCTTCTTGGTGCATTCTATATACAAATCTATATACACAATTTCTTCAGATCCAAGCGAATCATCTGCGTCAAACAGTCGACATGATGCTGCCCTATCCTTTGGATTGGCAAACAAATATGAAATAAAAGGTTATACCCTTCAGCAATAACAACATCTCACACATCGGTTCACATTATGATAAGTTTCTTTCCTCATAATTATTAGAAGATAAAAAAATGCATGGCCATGTAGGAAAGCAGTGAAAAAGAAACTACTTAGATTCCTTCAAAGTACAAATGAGATCTGCAGAAAAGGAAAGACCTGGAGAGAATGAAGCATAAAATTCTATGTACAATAAAAAGCACAATCTACTATGCAGGTTTCAAGCATTCATTCCTGAATGGGCAGATACCAGTGGGCTTGCTCGCCGTCGGACTTGATTTGACCTGACCTCTTTGTGAGTCGTGCTCCACTGAGAAGTCAGGACGCAGGAGGCAGGTAAAGTGGAAACAGAATTCACACAGGACGCGGTGTCATAAATACAGTATGTTATGACCACTCAGTAAGCAGTCTGCAAAGCACTCTGATTTGTTGGCTGCGGAGTTTTCACAGTCTGATGTTGCAGTCTGCTGTCAGACCCCGGAGGCCGCCTGGCTGTTATAATCAGTGGACTCCATTTTAAGGATGTAAGGGATGATGCTGTCGATCTGCACGTTGCCGATGAGGCCGGCGAAGAACAGCTCCTCTGTGACAGCTGCACTGATCAGCCTGAGGGCAGGAAGACGCAGCAGCAGCTTGGATAACCTGGGAGTTAATGACAGGGAAAGAAGAGATATATGCTGAAAAATGTCAAATTCATCATATGTTCAGTAAAATGTAACTCTGTATTTGTACACCACTGCTTTTACAGCAGTCAGTTGGCAACATGTAGCATAGATATCCATGTATTTCAAGATTTCATACTGACAGTATAGAAAGTTTTAGCTGTGAATCCTGAACTGATGTCCTAATAATAAACATTTAATAAAAAAACATTATACAAAAATGAATAATAAAAAAAATACAGAGTACAAAGGAATTAATATATTCTTGAATCATAAGCAAGGGCAGAGAACATAATACCCCATAATTCATTTTATAAATACGTTTAAGAAAACAAGGAATAAAAGAGAGGTCATGTCTTTTTGTGCTGCTCATGGGCGCTGCAGTATGTGCTCCCTGTGCCGCCGGAGTGTTGTGGCTAGAGGCAGGAACCAGTGTAAAAGGGGATGAACTGTACTTGAGTATGTTAGAGAGGGTACACAGGGTGGCCTCCTCACCCTGCCTTCTCCAGCTCTTCAAAGAGGAGACACAGACAAGGCTAGCATACTCAAGGACAGGATGAATGAAAGTCAGGTAGATTTGTTTTAGAACGTCAAATGGGGGGCCAGCTCTTTCTGCTGGTATAGTGGATTCTTTGCCAGGAGCATCTAATGACAAGTCAGAGTGTCAGACCATGTCTGGACAAGATACAAACAAGACTAACCGATACGAATCTTCTGGGTAGGTCCTGGTCACATAGTCCTGCAGCTCCATGTAAGCCTTCTCCTGGAACATCTCGATCTGTGGGATGTTATCTATGCCTGGGTGATCTAGTACAGAAACAGACACATGCACACATCCAGACATGAGTCTATGGGTATGTCTCAAAATGGTCCTCTGTATTACTTTGAGGATTTGGCCCCAATTCAAAGAACAAAAAACATTTTCAGTTTTTAAAGAAGCCTGTTATATACACACCAGGACTAAAGAGAACAATGGCTTTGAGGTAGGCGTACTCATACGCATCTGGGGACAGCTTGGACATGCTGTTACAGAACTCCTGCATCCTCCAGATGTGTTCCATTACTAGTTTTATTCGCTCTGGGGAAAGCTTCTCTGTTGGAGACAAAACAAAACAGAGAGAAATTTAGGGAACACAAGAATTAAGGGGCCCAAGCATCAGTAGTTTTGAAAACCAATACAACTGTGCGACATTCAAATGAAAATAACAGATTTAACAGTTTACACTTCTGAAATTATGTTCACAGTGTAAGACCCTCGCAGGCAGATAACAGCATACCTTCCTGTAAGCTGGTCTGCAGATGGTGGATAATGGCACTTAAGATGGTACCAACATTCATAATGTTGGA